CATATGAGAGGGAACAGCTGATGATGTGTGAGAGAGGAGAGTGACTGGAATGTGTCTTTGAAGGGATGGGATCCAGTGCACAGACAGAGGGGCTGGCTGCACACAGAGCAGAGACAGTTAATTGTTAATGTGTACACAGGCACAGAGGCAGGTCATAGGTAGGTGCGGGAAGCAGGAACCTTTGGCAGTTTTTTTTGAGAACCTGAATTTGCTCAAGAAAGCAGAATGCAAGGTCATCCATTGAAAGTGAGGCTGAGGAGGGGTGTTAAGAATTGAAGGTGCTGCATGAGCAGATAGAGGATCATCTCAGAACACAAGATAAGACTGTTTACAATAGCCTCCTGGAGAAATACAGTCTGGCTGCAAGGACTAAGTGGGATAGTAGCTGACGGTCAGGATGGAGTGTACCCAGGGGTTCTTCCACTGGGATATAACCTGAGTGCTTTTTGAATGGACATTATTATGTGAAACCATGCCAGGGCCAAATTAAGGAGTCTACATAATTCAAAATAAAAATGTGAAATTATAAGACAAGGTGTAAGAGAATCCAATAGTATCATTTCTCCCTTTATGACGACTGGCTTTTTTGCTTGCTTTTTAATGTATTGCATATCAAATATTTGTAAGACCTTTTGTTCTGGTGTTCCATTATATTGGTGCCTTATACATGCGCTTGGTGCTCTTTGGGTAAATGCAAACCCCTGCAGACCCAGGGAAGGCTGGACAGTTGTGTGAAAGACTCTAAGCTAGAGGAGCAACTAGTAGGTTGAGAAACAGGGACATTTCAAGTGATATGGCAGACTGAACAAGAAATGGGCAAACCAAACAAGATCGGAATTCAAGATTCCTTGCTCTTAGGTCCAGAAAACCAATTACTCATAAATAAAGAATCGAGAAGCGACAGCTTAGTAGCAGCATTCAGAAAAGATGTCCAGTGGGATCAGAAGAACACAACTGACACTGAAAGGATAAATACCCTTAGTTGGAATAGTGGTAGCCAGGGTGCAGAATTTGGAGTGATTTTTATTTTCTTCTTTATACTTTCCTTTATCTTTCAAATTTCTTATGATGGTCATAAAAAAATAACCATAAAAAATGTAAAACCTGTGCTATTTTAGGCACCATTAACATAAATACAGTCTCTCATAATGAAGGTAATCATGCAGCCCAACTTTGTGCTACTCCCAGACTGCTGAGTTGCATCTGTGTGAGTTTTGAGGTGAGCAGCCCACACACAGTGAAGAGCCTGGAAACCACTATCAGCCAAGGAAAGCTTGCTTTCCTGAGAACTTAGGGGGAGCCTGGAACTTGAAAGCTGACTTCAAGTATGCAAAAGGATGACCTGTACAGTAGGACTACTGGCAGAAATGAATGGGAGATACACGTCTCCCCAGAGATGGAAGAACAAGACGGGACAAATGCTCCGTGGGGTACTGGAGAGAGGATTCTAGCACAGGAAGGGTAGCTAGCTGACCCTCAGGACCCTTCTTGGCCTGAATTTTGGAATTTTTATAAATTGAAAGTGTTCTATCAGAATTCTCCTCAAAATCAAAAGTTTGAACTGGTGAACTATCAGTGAAGTCTCCAGTTAACAGTTTAACACTGACATTAACTTCTTGGTTTTCCAAACGTGCCATGACCCTGTAAGATACTGACATTAGGGGAAACGGGCTAATGGGCACACAGGAACTTTCTGTACTATTTTTTTGCAACTTTTCTATAAATCTGAAATCATTCCAGAATAAAATGTTTATTTTTTTAAGAATCAGATTTTTTGAACTCCACATAAAAGCTTTTCTCAGACCAAAGGTCACACAGAGTATCCTGGGAGCTAAGGAGCTGGGCCTCAGTCTTCAAGTATCAGAACTGTAATCAACATTTGTGATTTATAGTTTATAAAAACAAATATAATTTTGTGTCCACCCCACAGATGTGATGTAAGCAGGGTTGGTGTTACCATTTTGTGCAAGCCAGTTCAGCAAGCTACATCAACTAGCCCAGGTCACTCAGTAGTGGGCTAAGTGAGGCTTCAAATCTGTCTCGTCATTCCAGGGTTCTTTCCACCGCACACCATCAACTCTCCAAGTTCGGCAGACATCCCTGCTCTGCCTCCATAACTGTTTTGTTTATGTGTCCACTGGATGTGGTTCTCTGAGTTTTACTGCAGAACAGAAAGGGTGTTCACTGTAGCACTGTTTGCAAGAGTGACACATATCTGAATGTCCATCGGCAATGAATGATTAAATAAATTACAGGCCATCCATTCTGGAAACACTACACAGTTGTTTTAAAAAATGTGGGAGACCTACGATTTCTGGGACAAGACACCTGGTTAGATGAATAAAGCAAATTGCTAGGGCATTATGGGTAACATGATTGCATGTTAGTAAAAAAGTATATTAAAATAAAACTACAAACATGCATATATATCTGCATATACATATGTTATATACATATAAAAAGTCTAGAAGGCCATTCCCTGAGGGGCATATAGTAGCTTTTTAATGTAAACAACAACAAAGTAAACCAAGTTCAGGAAGCTTGGCATAAAAGGCGGGGATGGGAAGGAATGGCTTACAGCTTTCCCCCCATTATCTCCTCTTCCTACCCTATTTATCTCCTGTCTTCTCATGCAAAAGAAGGAATAATAATGTTACTCTCTTCCTTCCCTTCTCAGGTTTGGAAAGACTGTTAGCACCCTTTCTTTCTTTAGGTGGGAGGCATGGGGCAGGGGACCACAAGATGTGAAGCTCCACCCAAATCCTAACCAAAAGCAAATGAATTTCAAGATCTATTTTGCTCACTGTACTCATGCTTTCTTTGTTAACCCAGATACTTGTTGGTTTCTCTGTGGCCCTTGTTTCCAGGCTAAATGTCTTATCACTGAGGCATCAGATCCTTTACCACCTGAGTCTGTCAATCTACTTATTTGCTCTAGACTTGCCCAACACAGGGCGGCTCCCCCAGGTCTCCTGTTCATGGGAACCCGCCCTGAATTCTGCTCCCTTTCTCCTTCCTTCTCTTTTATGTGCCCAGGCAGTGGGGTGGAGTGGGACTTTGAGAGCAGTATACCCTGACGGAAAGAAGACAGGCTTTGGAGTAAATCAGACTTAGCACAAAACCCTGCCTCTGCCATTATTAGCCACTTAGCCTTGTGAGAATTTCTTAACCTCTGAAGATGGCTTAACATCCCCAAACCTCAGTTCTTGTTTCTGTAAAATGAGAATAAAACCTGCTTATAGGGCTTTGGTGAGGAATAAGTGGGATGAAAAATGCTGAGTGACTAGTCCAGAGCGAGGACTCTCTAGGAGGTAGTAGTGTGATCAGGCGGCAAGGAACAGGCCTGATCGTGGAGGGGGAGTTGAGTCCCAGGGCCGGGTTTGGCCCCTCCCTACTTCCAACGGGGTGACTTCCGCACTCGGCACAGCGGGGCCACAGAATCTCTAGGGACCCATGAAACTGGTTTTAATGATTTCATTTCTTTTAAAATCAGAAGAAAAAACTGAATGAAGCTTAAGTCAAGGAATTGACTTAATTGTTCTAGCAATTATTATAAATATAACTATTAGTGGTTTTATTATATTAATACTACTTTCTTCCTTACATCAATGCAGTTGTACAAGGCCATCTTTAAAATATATCTTTTTAAATGGACGAACAGGCCCCAAAAGGCAAAAATGTCCGGGGCCCATAATGCACCCTCACTTTCAACACCCCCAAGAGATACCCCTCTTAGACCTTTATAGACTGACTAGGGAAGAGGGATAGGAGGGTGCATAGGTGGGGAGGTGGCGAAGAAATGTCCAAGACCCTCAGAGTACAAGCCATCACTCTCTCTGATTTCTCCATTCCTGGCTCTGAATACATTTGCTTCAGCCCAGTGAATAGCGGACTGTATAATATGTCCTAAATTGCCACTTCACTCGCGTCACTTGCTGGGTCAAGAATGTAAATATATAACTCAACAACAACAAAACAGGCCAGTTAAAAAATGGGCAAGGACTTGAATAGACATTCCTACAGAGAAGACATACATATGGCCAATAAGCACATGAAAAGATGCTCAGTATCACTAATCATTAGGGAAATGCACATCAAAACTATAATGAGATAGCACTTCACACCTATTAGGATGGCTACTATCACAAGAAATAGAAAATAACAAGTGTTGCCCAGGATGTGGAGAAACTGGAACCCCCGTGGAATTGCTGGTGATGTAAAATGGTGTAGCCACTGTGGAAAACATCATAGCAGTTCCTCAAAAAGTAAACACAGAATTCAGGGTGGGTTCCCATGGACAGGAGACCTTGGGGAGCCACCCTACCAGCACATAATCCAGCAATTTTACTTCTGGATATATATACCCAAAGGAATTGAAGGCAGGGACTCAAGGAGAGATTTGTACACCCATGTTCAAAGCAGCATTCTTCACAATAGCCAAACTGTGGAAATAATCCAAATGTCCATGGGCAGATGAATGGATAAAGATAAAGATAATGATATGTATTATATATATATAAAAAATGATTTTATATATAAGTCATTCTTATGAAGGAAGGAACTTCTGACACATGCTACAACTTGGATGAACCTAGGAGACATCATGCTAACTGAGATAAGCCAGACACAAAAGGACAAATACTGGTTTGACTCCACTTGTATGAGGTCCCTCATCAAATTTATACAACAGAAAGTAGAATGGTGGTCACCAGGGGCTGGGGAGAGAGGGAAATGGGGGGTTATTATTTGATGGATACAGAGTTTCAGTATGGGAAGATGAAAAGTTCAGGAGATGGATGGTGGCAATAGTTGTACATCAATTCATACTTAATACCACTGAACTGTGTGACAAAAAATGGTTAAACTGGCAGCTTTTATATTATGTATATTTTACCACAAGTTAAAAAAAAAAAGAAGAATGTAAACAGTCCCCCTTTAGCCCATCTTAATTCCTCAGCTGGTTGCCCAGGCGTCATCTCTTTCCCCTATGAGGGGCTTACCGTGGAGGTCCTCTGCCTTGTTCTCCAGAGCACCCTTCAGAATAACTGCAGTCTCTGAACCTGCACACACGGTGGTATCTTTATTTGGAATACAAGCTACACCCCTCTTTACCTGTAAAAACCTCACTCAGCCTTCAAGGGTAAGGGCTCTGGTCCCTTCCCACTCATGAAGCCTTCGCTGACCAATCTAGACTTCCACCCATCCCTCCCATCTCTCAGTTCCGATTGTTTGCACCTTTGGCCACGGAGGGCACTCCTGTACCTGCCCTGGGGATGTCATTTGGAATTCACCTGGTTCCACATTTGTGGAGAATGTCTGTTCTATGGACAAACGGGACTGTGCATAGGAAAACAAAGGTGTAGAGCCCAGAGCCCAACCAAGGTTTTATTCCTCCCTCACCCTAACAGCACATAATGAAAATAATCAGTGAATATCTGATGGTTTGTCTGGCTCTGGTTATGAAATGCAAAGTGGAAACCAGTCTCGCCAAGATGAAAGGTAGATCCCTCCCTGGGAACCCTGCTCCAGGGAACAAGGGGCTTTGATGCTAGAGCTATCATCAGTGAAGTGGAATTAGAAAGCAGGCACAGTTCCTTTCCAGGAAAAGGTGGGTTTCTAACTCACTCATAATAATAATAGTAACTAACTTTTTGAGTGCTTAGTAAATACATATCTCATTTAATCCTCACAAATAACCTCTTAAGAGAGGCACTATTCCCCCCATTTTACAAGGAGGAAACAGGGGCTTAGAGGTGAGATAAGGCCTTCAAGGTCATAAAGTTTTCAGTGGTAGTGCCAGGAATTGGCTCAGGTCCAGGAGACTTCAGATTCAAACTACACTAAACGCAGCACTCTGGTAGCCCTCTGCTTCCTCCCTGGACTGTTTCTGCTGTGGGGCAAGCAGAGAGGTGGGAGGGTCTTCCCAGCAGGGCCGAGGCCTGAGAATTCCAGGACTGGGCTGCGGCTGGGGGAGGTTGAACAAATTTCCATCACTCGGACTGGGAAAGGCCATCACCTACCTTCTGGGGAAGGCGTAACTGGGAGGCTAGCCATGGTAGCAAGCAGACGGTACCTTGCGGGAGGCGCAGATCTGTAGGAAGAGGTACAAAGACAGGAATGAAGTGGGTGGGCTCCGGCCTGGGGCTGGAAACCATTGGAAATCCCAGCAAGGCCCCTGGTGCCAGGTTTTCCTGAGTCTCTCTTCCTCATTTCCTCTTTTTCCTGTGGATCTAGTCCCAAATCCTTCTCTTTTGGTTTCCCTGGAGTGCTGTATCTCCCCAGGCTGCAGGTACCAAGAGCAGATCCCAGACCTCCTGCACTTGAGGTGCGGTACCTCTGAACGTTCTACCCCGAGGTCCTTTCCCTGGGCCACGTCTGCCAGAGATTCGTCAAGGCCCGAGAAAGTCAGGCGGAGGTATGCAAATTGGCAGCGGACCCATTTCACCAAACCAGGGACAGGTACTCAGTCCCTCCTCAGCGGGAGCTTGGGCGGAGCCATCCACTAGGTGTCAGGAGAGGGCCGGGGAGGGCAGCCCCCCAGCTGGGGGCCGGCGTCCGGGCCGGGACGCGGCCTCGGGGCGGGGAGCCAGGCCACGGAAACTGGAGGGGAGGGTCCTGTGCCGCCTTTGGCCTGCGGCAAACAGCCCGTCATGTGGGCTTGGCCCGCACCCCTCAGCCCACCCTCACTGGGCTCTGCGCCGGCCGCGCACGGTCTCCCGAACCCCAAGGGCGGGCCACCAGGGCCGCTGGACGCAGCCCGTGGCCGGGCGCCCTGGGGAGCTCCGCGACGTCGGGGCTCGGCCCCCGCCCGCAGCCCCGGCTCCCGGCCCTCCGCGTTACCAGCACAAGGCAGGGCCCACTGCGCTCCGTCCCGGGCACTCGGTTCCCAGCAGCCGCGACGGAGGCTCCAGACGAGGGCCGCGCTCCGGGTTGGGTTCCTGCCGTGGCCGACGTGCCGGCGGTGTGAGTGTGGGCGGCCGGCCCGCCCAGGTCCCCTCCTCCGCGTGCTCACCTTACCAGTCGGACGGGCTGCCGGGGAGGGCCGGCGCCACTCCGCGCGTCCTTTTGAACTCGAGGGGGCGGGAACCGCAGAGATCCGCCGGGAACCGTCGAGAAGCCGGCAGGAGCAGCTCGGAGAGACGCGCAGATTGGGCCGCCGAGGCCGGCCGGGAGTGGGGGTGGGGGGCTGGCCGACTGGGTGGGACAGGAAAAGAGGAGAGAAGCCGCCCTCTGCAGGTTCCCTCTGCCCGCCGGGCCGCCTCTGCTCCCCAGGGAGGAAAGGCTGTCTTTCCTTATCCTATTGTCGCTTTACTCTCCATCCGGAGCCGCTTCCTCCCTCGCCCCGAGGCTCCAGAGGGCATGGGATCTGAACCCTGGGCTACCTGGGCTCGTCCGTTTTCCCGCCATCAACGTGATTTAAATTTTCAGCAAACGTGGAAAGTTACTTTTACTTGCGTTTGATTACCGTTCACGTAAATAGGGATGCGTCCCGAAGCTTGGAAACCTAAGCTAACTTGTAGTCACAGACACACACACACACACACACCCCGGTCGGGAAGCAGGGAGGTCTGAGGTGTGGAGGAACGTTGCCCCGTTCGAATTTCCTTGTACGACATTCTTCTGAAGCAGTGTAGCTAGGAGGTTAAGAGCGTATGGACTTGGGATTCAAAGTCCCAGCTCAGCTGCTTGTTAGCTGTGTGACTTTGGGAAAATTAGTATCTCTGCAGTCTGCTCTCTCATCCTTGGAATGGGTGACTGAAAATAATAATGCCTGTGAAGCCATTTCTTAGCCACGCTTCTAGCACATGGTAAGCAATTCAGTTTTAACTATTTATGAGTGCCACACTTTAGCCAACCTCTTGACTCATGTCATAGTGGCAGGAAATGTTCCCCAATTAATGAGGAACTCAGTGACTAAATATGTGATAGTATAAATACAGGCTCCGGAATTCATTCAAAGTTACTGTGGGGAGGAAATGAGATAATCCATCTAAAGCACTAGAACCTTAACAACAACATAGTAAGTGCTCAATAAATGATAGCTATTGTTATCTTGACTTGGTGAGAACTCTTGTGGTTAATCTGCCTACCATCGGAGTGATATAGACGTCTGTGTTTATTATTCCTGTGAGAAGTTCTCTAGGTTTGGGAATCAGTATTTATACAGACAGATAGACAGGTGGGTATTGCGCTTGTTCATTTCGGGAACAAAAACTGAAAGAGAAAGTCTCAGAGAATGGAGATGTATGTGAGAAAAGGAAGACGATGAAATAAGCAAGAGAAGTTGCTTTCATTTCTGAAGATGTTACTTAGTTGGTAAAAAGCAGAGGGAGGGAAAAACAGAATAAGTTGATGAGATTCATCTTATATATATTTTCAAAGGCATAACAGTTATCAGTGAGGAAGAAGAAAGCCCTTGTGTGGCAAAACTACCAATCTAACCAAGAAAGGAATGCAGGTCCTTTCTTACAACAAAGAAAGTAACACATAGGCAAGATGTATATAAATTAATAAAAACCTATGTATTAATTTATAGAGATATAAATTAATAAAAAGCCTGGCCAGCCCTCAGATTAAAGAATTCATAAGAGAAAAGGAAATTCAAATCCTAATGGTTAAATTCCAAAAGTGGACAATAGTTTGCATTTACTGACAAACTGACTGTGACTTCCAGGAAAGGCTGAGATTTTTCTTGGATTTGGGTTGATGTCCACCATAGCATATTCCATTACATACTGAAGATTGTTAGAATCACACACTCTCAGAGGCCATCTGGCTCAACTCTCTACTGATTTGCTATTACTTTTACAGTTTAATTTGATGGTTAATAGTCTCTTATAAGCATCTTTTTCTCTTTAAGATGTTACCTTAAAAGGTTTGCTGGTCTATGATTTTATCCCCGTAGGCACATACCATTCATTTTAACAGAGTAAATATGCAGAAAAATAGTATCCAATATACACATGCTCAGCACCCAATTTAGCAGAAAATAAAAAATACTGTAAGCAGTGTGTGAACTCTGAACTTAGGTGTATCCTGTGTATTTTGGATGTGTCATGTTTCTAGTGTTCTCTGGATATCTTAGTCTGCCGATATTGTCCTTCATATTACTGGAAGGCAAGGACTGGGTAATGTTCTTGCAAAAATTAATTCTATATAGAGATGCCTACAGATAGAAGATGAATGAAGCCTCATGTGGGGGGAGCCATCAATATTCTCTGAAGATAAATGCTAAACCTCAGAAACTAGAGCAGCCATCCCTTTGTCCACACACATCTCCAGGGGCTTCAGGGCAGGGGATAAGGTATAGTCTTTGCTCAATTTTATTGGCTTTCAGCCCCTTGTTGTGCTGCTGCCAGGGTAGTAATCAGTCTAAGTCCCAGCATTTCCCTTGGACTTCACCATTTTGCAAATCAGGGTAAACAGTTTGCTTCCTCACTGGGACTATCTACCCTAGATAAGCAAAATTATTACTCACGTCCAGCAGACTGGCTCTTTCTTCTGCCTTCGTGGAGCCTCCAGTAGTGCCGTTGGCGCACAATAAAGTCTCAATGTCACATGTTAGTAAACTTTTCCACTGCAGTTGTGCCTGTTGTAGCAGTTACCTTGAGAACCTGTCTCCCCACCGCACCAGCCCATAGGTCCCTGGAATTCCTCTCTGGTGCACTCCTCAGAGGATCAGTTTCCTAGGAGATGAGGGTCAGGGGAAACCCTGCAGAGAGAAGAGGTTTGAACTGGGTTTTGCCAGATGAGTGTGGGACGGCCATTCCAAGCAGGTCACAGAAGGCCTTCGACAGCTAGGGACCTGCATTCCCAGCTTTTCTCTCATGCTTCCAATACCCTGGAGTATCACTTCCAGCAGTGATCCTGAGTGCCAAGGGCATGGGATGCCTTCTAAGAAAGGTATTAAGATACCAGCAGTAGGGCTTTTATTGGGGAGCAAGGGGGTAGCAATCTCCTTTCCATTATGGCAGCAGAGATCCTTTGAAGGTTTTTAAATAAAAGAATAACAGGATTAGATCTTAGAAAAATTGACTCCTAAATGCAAATATGCATTTCCAGCTGCCTAAGGGACATATTTATTGGAAAGTCCTTGCATTCAATGTTTGTATAGGACACCCAATAAAGTGCACATAAACTACATGATCTGATAAGTTTTGACACATATTAAACTATCATTAAAATTATGAACATTTCTTTTACCCCCAAAGTTTCCTTGTGCTTTGTAATCTGTCCCTCCCTACCATTCACTGGTTTTTTCTTGTCATTGTAGATGCTAACATGCTTCCTCAACTGGACCAGACTCTTTCTCTGGGGAATCTAGGTCTGGAAAGGACACAGTGGCAGAAGGTGGCTGAAGAAGTCTTTCAATGACAGCTGCCCAGAGGGGTAGTCTGCACAGTCCTGCTACAGGCATCTGTCCTTTGTACACCCTGGTGGTTCTTCCAGTGCCATCAGCTGCCTCACATCCTCCCAACGTATCCTTTATTGCTTAATTGGGTCAGTTTGTTGCTTGCAACCAGAAAACTCACAATATACTTCCTTCTATAGTCACCATTCCAGAGAATGGTACCACCAAATTCTAGTCTCTCAAGCCTAACCTAGAATAATGCCTTCAAACTTCAGTCTTCATCATGTGTCTCCTTTTCTAAGCCATTGTTAAATCCTCCCCATTCTGCTCCCTGCTCAATATCTCACTATTTCTATAAAGTTGTTACTTTTCTTCCTCATTATTATTTCTCTACTACCTAGTACTTTACTGTACAGTGCTTGGCACTGTATATATTGTTATTTAATTGGTAAAAACCATACTCAGTATGTGTTTGCTGAATGACTGAATGGTGACATCATCTATCACTCCTGGAAACAAAACATGATGAGTGTTTGCATGTGTGTATTTATCAGGGTGGCAGGACTTCAGTTTTCAATGTTTTCACAGCAAATGGAAGGATTTGAATCCAGGACTTCTGATTCCAAATTTCATGCCCTTTCTGTTATATTGTTACAGTTTGTATCCTTTCCCTCACTTGGAGTTCCATTTCTTTTTGCAACCTACTCAGTTCCTTATTTATTTTGAACATAGATGGAGCTCTAAAATGTAAGGCTTTTCCAAGGGCACTTACAAACCAAAGGGAGAGGAGACATGCAGTAAAGCATCTAGATTGAGGAGCCTGTGGCTTCTGGAATCAGAGTTACACCCTACCTACAGCCAGGGACTAGGGTGAGCTGGGCAGCAGGGATATGACCAAAGCTTGCTGAACCTGGGGTAAAAACAATAACCTTGCCTAAGTGGAGAATGTTGTGCTGGGCTGTAACAACTCCCTGTGTCAAACAAAGAATCCATACATAGTCAGAGTAATACTTTATTTAACAATGTAAAAACCTGTTCTTTTGACTTCAAGTCTTGCAAATGAGTGGTAAGTCAAAGATCTGTTGGCTCTTTGAGTATGTGTGGTTATGTGTCTCCACATGGATGTCTGTGTTTACAGTTGCTTTTGTTTTTTTAGTCATTTTAGCCCCACTTTAATTAATATATTAAAGTCTTATTATTCTAACAGTACTAAAACATGAATTAAATATTCCCTGAGTGTAATAGTCTCCTCCCAAGTCTGCTTCCCTCCCTCCCCCAAGTCTGCTCCTTAGCCTTCATTAATTCCAGGTCTTCGTAGAGACCACCAGCATTCATAATGCTTGAGAACCTAGAAATGAATGCTGGATCTCAAGACCTATACACCCTCTAGCCGAGGAGCTTCTCTGGGGATGTGTGTGGGGTGGGAGGTCTTGGTAATTCCCCTTCAGAGTTGTGCACTTTCAATTGTAGATATCTGGAAAGTAAACATGATTACATTAGATGCTGACCTGTCTGTCCTCTGACCAACCACTCCCAGAGGGTGAAAACTCAATTTGCTTCTATTGAATTATATTTCATGTAATGCACTGGCTTCTATTGAAAGAGGCAATGTGAGGCTGGTTGTTGGTATTATTGTGAAGACTTGTTGCAGATATTGTTCACTGTATCATTTGCCATCTCTTTATGAGGATTCACAGGAGAAATTTCTTTTTCATCTTAGTAGCACGAATTACTTTCCTAAGGAATGGGCATTGTGAATTGAGTAAACAGATCAGGGTTTTTTTTTTCTTGGATGTTAGAATGTCTGGCTCCAATTTTGTGGTTCATCCTTTGTTAAGTTTATTTTATAGGATGCATTTTTGTACTTGCCTAATTCCTGGCTCCATTTTATGTCACTGTTACTAACATACTTTTGAATTATTTTGCTATGTCGAGGATGTGTGTGTATATATATATATGAATATATGTATACATACATACATTTATCTATATATGTATATTTACCTTTTTTGTATGCCTTTTATATATTTTAACTCCTTTTTTAAATAAGTGCATGGTAAGAGGTCAAGGTTCAAGGCTAAGTGTTGGAAAATGAGCACAAAGAAACCACAGTCCCAGTTTACTCTTGGTTCCTCTGGCTCCCCACCTGCTTGACTTTGCCCTAAGGATATTTTTCACTGCTGGGTTCCCCCCCAGAGAGAATCCCAACCTATAGCCAAACCTGTGTCCGCCCCCAATGCCCCATCTTACCACCCATCCTGTTCTCTGTGTATCTGGCTTCCTTACCTCTTCCCGAGGCTCAGGTGCTGTGACATTGTTCTCTTCTGAAACTTTCTGAGGCTGAAGACCTAGGCTCTATAAAAAGAAGAGTTCTGCTAGTGAGAGATAGCTTAACTTCCCCAACCTCTCAATTTAGAAGGGTCTTTTGTGCCTTACAACTTTGCAAGGACCATAGACCACACAAAGGGCAAATGCTGTTCCACTACCACCCGCAGGCATCAGGGGCTTCACTGTCATCCTCTTTCACAAGTCAAGAACATAAGATTCAAAGGGTAAAATGACTTGCTGGGATAGGGAACTAGGTCTTTAGACTCTAGTGTTGTTTCCATGATTAGACACCATGTGCTCTGTGTGACATGCATCTGTATATATATTTGTGTGGGATTCTGTGAGGGGATAAGGAAAGGTCTCAAAAACACTGCTGACTCCTTTTAGACTAACCCCCCTCAAGACTGCACTGCAGCTCTCACATTTACATGATCCTAACCTGTGACAGGCAGGAGAAGCAAGTGGTATAATAGTTTCTTTGGGAAAAGTTCTAGGTTCTGAGATAGGAACCCAGGGTCTGAAAAGCCCTGTCTAGGAACTGATAAGCCGGGAGAAGACCTTGGAAGTCTAAGGTTTAGAATGGATTTTTTTAAAACTGAAGTTAATTAAGCACTATAAAATTCACCCTCTAAAAATAGAACTGATTTATAACAGTATGACAGCCACTTCAAATTCTGTGATTTCTCCTCTAAGGAAACTTCCCTTCTTTTTATTCCTTCCTCTGCTCCTAGGTCATGAATTACCTCAACAGTAGTAATACCCTCCCCAAAAGTTATCAAAACCTTCATTCTCTCTGAGTTGATTGATGCTGAGCAAGAACAGTTTCTCACACTTATCTTTTGTTTACCCATTTTTATATGTGGTATGTCCATGATTCTGCTTGAGAGAAAATATATTTATGAGACATCTGCAAGGGAAGTGAATAGATCTTGTGGGACATAGGCTTCTGAGGACTGGTGATGCCAGAAGGCTAGGATCTAAGATGCTCCAGTTGCTCAATTCCATAGGAAAAGTATGTCCTTAGCAGGCAACCAAACAATCCCACAGGAGAGGCTGGGAGTAAGGAAACTATAAATCTCGAGTATAAAGAGGTAGCCTTAGGGGAAAGGAGGCTATATCCTACACCTCTTTCCCAAGGAGGACAGTGTTACTGCCCTGTTCCTCAAAATAGACAGCATTTTGGCCCCCGTAAGCTCTGCTTCAGTAAGATTACTCTAAGAATTTGTTTATTTACCAGAGCCAAACAGAGGTCTCTTTATTCCTATCTCCATACTAAAATTGTATAATATATTACAAAGTAAAATTTAAATTAATTTTAGATTTTCTATACTATTGAATTGCTCTTTCAGTGCATAATAGTGAGAAGTGGCCATATTTTACCTACTCAAAATCCCACATTTACCCTGTGCTTATTCACTGCCCACATGCCTTGCCTATCTCCTCCAACTGGCAGAGCTACCTCAGACTCGAAACCAGCTAAGGGAAAGTTTTATCTCTTGCTCTCTTAGGACCTCATGTGAATCAAGACTCTGGGTATAATACTGATGACTTAGATTTTAGTACCTCAGGGGAATCAGCTGAGATAAGCTTATTCTCTTCCTTGTCTTCTGTCTTCTTTTCCTTGCCAGACTCTGAAAGAACCTGTGGATCAAAGTGGACAGTGTAGGAGAAAGTTCCACACCTTCACGCCGGGATGCTACCCCTGTACCCTTTGTCCATGTTAATCCCTCCCATCTAACAGGAGGCTTCCAAGGCATCTGGCCAGCCTTCGGTTAGGCACAGGCAGTACTATGGTGGTATGATCTAAGATGTACCAGAAATCTCACTGACTCTCAGATGTCTACATGGCTCATGCCCTGGCCTATTCTTTGCCCAAATGTCATCTTTTCTGACCACTCTGTTTAAAATCACAATTCAGCCCCCACTCTCTGTGCCTTCCCCTACTTAAATTTTCTCTGTATCTTTTATCATTACCTCAATTACAATTTTACCAATTTAATCTGTTTCTTCTCTATCTTCCTGGCCCTTCCTCCACCACCACCCTCACTAGAATATAAGATGCAGGAAGGCAGAGAATTTTGTATTTTGTTCACTGTTAATACCCCACCTCCCAGAAAAGTACCTGGCAGATAACAGGGGCTCAATAAGTAACTGTGGAGGGAGTGAGCAAATCTTGTCAGATGTCTCACCATAATCCTCTCCACAATGCACCCGACAGGTGATCATATATCCTTAGCTATTAACACCAGATAAGGAGAACTACTTCTCAAGGTGGCCCATCCCATTTTGGTTTTTGGAAGCTCCAATGCCTCCTTTCCCCTATATTAAAAAATTTTTTCCATATCATTTTTTAACAGAATTGCTGAAAATTCCTCTTATATGCATCTAAAATGTATTAAAAACATCTTTAAACAGAGGGTCTACTTCTGCCCTTAGGAGTCTCACAGAACAAGTCAAACCTCTCTTGTATGTGATAGTCTTTCCATGTAATCTGAGTAGAATATGACTTGGTTTCCAGACCCTTCATAAAACTGGTTGCCCCTCAGGGGGTCTGTGTCTCTATGTTAACATATTCCTTTTCTCACCCATATTCTACCTTTCAAAAGACCATCTCTTTTGCTCTACCTTCTTCTGTGAGTTCTCATCAGAGAGGATGCACCTTGGAAATCTGCTGATGCCATTTTGCTTGGGGTCTGTTTACCATAGTCACAGTATGACGAACTGACACACTCCTTTCTGCCTCCATTAAAAAAAGGTAAAGCTCAAGATGCCAGTTACAGGTTCTTTATATTGGGAACTCCCAGAACTTGGAACAAAATAAATTAGTAAGAATCTGCTCATTATAATATTAGAAGTAAGCTGTTTGCAGAAGTCAATTCCCCCAAGAGTACAGATCACTAAATTAGTTGCTATGAAGAAGGGGCGACAATCCCCAGAACCAAAAAAGGTGTCCAGGAGTATCCTTGAGACTGTAATGTAATGACATGAAATCTTACCAACTGTGGGGCATCCTGACTATAGTAAAGATGACCTACTTGGAGGTATAAAAAGGAATAAAGACTCAACCAGATCTACTCTCACCTGAGAGATCATCAAGGTAGGGGAAGCACAGAATTCTTCTGGGTTCAGATTGTCGGTGTTTTCCTTTTCTCTGGCATCAGGAGTTCTGACTGGCTTCTCTGGTGGCTGTGGATCAGGAGAGGCTTCTAAGGAGGCCCTGGGACTTGGAGTCCCAGCCCCAAAGAAGGCCCTGTGGTTGGTGGGAGAACCCTGTTCAGAGGCTGTAGGGCTAGAGGGCATGTTCCCTGAGGAGGGCCTGGGGCTGGGAGTGGCTCTGGGTGGAGGAGGCCTATTAGGCGGTGCTGAGGTCCTCTGGATAAAGGCTCTCTTCTTTGGTTGTTCAGATCCTTCACTTGAGGTACGGGTTCGGAGGACTACTTCTGGGAGAGAGGAGGGCTGCTCTGAGGGGATCAGGGCTCTGCCTGGTGATGGAGCTGCAGAGCAAGGGAGAACTTCCTCCTGCGGCTCGCCACCGTCGGTGCTGGGAGAGGGCTGGGTCTGGGTGAGGCCATTGCAGGCTGCCAGAGGCTCTTCCTCCTCCAAGGAGCTTGCTTCAGCCTCTTGCTCCTCTATTGCCTCATCTTTTGAGGGCCCTTTAATCTCAGAGCTGTCTTCTTCCTGGGCTGGAACAGATGGCAGCTCTTCTTCACTTGCTGAGCTGGAGTCCTCATTCTTCAGGGAAGGTGCAGAGGGACTGGTAGGTGCAGAGGGACTGGTAGGTGAGGTAAGAGAGCTGGAGACTGTAGATGTTCGAACTGGGGAAGAGATGACTAAAGAGCGCCTGCTGCTGCTAAAAAAGAAAGGCATTCGGATTCAGAAGACCTAAAAACTGGAAGTAACCTAAATATGCAAAATAAAAGTAATGATGCATGCATGTAATAATAGAACAGTCAATTTAAAATGATATTAGAAAGTCTGAATAATTTGTAATAATGCTTATGTTATAAAGTGAAGTGAAAAAAAGGCTATAAAATTATATCCATATCATGATCTCAATCATGTAAAAAAAATATAAAGAGACTGAAAAGAAGCAGCAAAACATCAATAAAATATTTTCTATGGGGAAAAGGCTCATGGGTGATATACAGTTGATCCTCATGGATTCTGTATTTGCAAATTGAACAATTCCCTAAAACTTACTGTAACCCCCAAGTCAATACTTGTACCTTCATGGCCATTCACAGGCATGTAAAAGCTGTGAATATTAGTGCCTGATGAACTTTCCCAGCTGAGGTCTAACAAGGCAAACCTCTGCCTTCTTGTCTCAGCTCCCATGCTGTAAATGTGTTTTGCCATGTTTTTCACAGTGTGCTTTTTGTTGGTGATTTGCTGTTTAAAATGGCCTCCAAGTGTAAAGTGCTATCTAAGAGCAAAAAGACTGTGATGTGCCTTACAGAGAAAATACGTATGTTAGATAAGATTTATTCAGGCATGCGTTATAGTGCTGTGGGCTGTGAGCTCAACATTAATGAAACAATGTGTATTAAATAAGGTGTCTTTAAACAGAAACACATACAAGACAAGGTTATGTATTGATTATTTGATGAAAATGTTGGGACCAGAAGCCCACAGGAACTTAACTCTGTGTTTCCCCTAGGAGCGGTGGTTCAGGACTCACTCACTCAGTGCTCATGGTGACCTTATAGAGCATTACTACTGTGAGTAAGCAAAGCTGACTGGAACACTTATTGAGCACGCTGCATACTGTGCTAAGTGCTTCTAACAGCCAACATTGACTTGACTTCCATTCATCTCCTTAGGTGCTTCCCATGTACTGTCCACCAACAATCCACAAACATTTACTCGACAGGTACCAACCATGTGCTGTGTTCCCTGGGCACAAGGATGAGAGACGGGGATAGGAGGAGAAAGAAACTTAGTTCCTGCTCTGTGGGAGTTTCTAATATGAGATAAGCTGAGTAACATAAGGTTTTTCCTAGCATTAGCATTCTAGGCATCAGTAGGTTCAGAAGGCCCAGAATATAGCAAGAAAAGACCAGATTTCCCTACAAGGTTCTGGGACATGGTATGAGTGAAGGTAGATTTCAGATGAATGAGCAATTAGAGAGAACTCTGGCTTTCAATGATGGGACAAAGAGATACAGAGTTGTTGAAGCAAAGGGAATTTGTCTAGGAAGTAATACATTGGCTCCTTAGTGATTCTTATTAATAGTCTGCAACTAAATGCTAAATGAGTAGAACAAACAACAAATGTGAGCCTTATTCTTCCTTGAAGACCCAAACTCAGTTTTACTACCTCTTTAAAGCTTTCCTTGACTATCTACACATTGGCAATTACTTACCTCTCTGGGGTTCCTACTAGTCTCATAGGCACTCAGATATGCAAGCTTACATCCTTCCTTGTCTCCTTAGGCACATTTTCCATCTTTCCAACTTTTAAAAAAAATTATTGTTGGTACACTATCTTATGTTGGTTTGGAATGTATAACACAGTGGTTCAACAGTTACCCATATTATAAATCACTTCAGGGAAAGGACAGTCTCCTTAATCTTTAGATCCCTAGTTCTTACCTAAAAACCTTATACACAGAAGGAACTTAATAAAACTTCCTAAGCAAAGGCTTTGGAATAGGAAAGTGATCACCCTCTTTGAGACCAGAATTGCTTACACTTACCAGCATAAAGAATGTATGAAGGTGTTAGACACCACACACACACACACACACACACACACACACACGTCGGAAAGCAAGCCATACAGATTGAGAAAAGATATTTGCAATGTGCATCATTTAAGGGTTAATATAAAGACTACATAAAACAATAAAAACAAAAACAAAACCCTCATATAAATCAATTTTTTAAGGGATAAATGATCCAAATGAAAAATGTGAAAGAAGGATAAACAGGTAAAGAGGAAAGTCACAGAACAGGAACCTTAAATGGCCAATAATGTGAAAAGATGTACAAGCTAACTAGCGATTGTGGAGACATGAATTAAAACTAAAAAATTCCATTTCATACCCATTAGATGGAAAATGAAGAACTCTGACAATGTCACATGTACCAACATTCTGGAACAATGGGGGTTTTCATTCACTGCTGGTAGGTCGTAAATGGGCATAATCACTTTGGAAAGCCATTTGGCAATGGCAGCATCTAGGCTGAGGAAGCCCAAATGCACAAGTATGACTCAGCAATTTCACTCCTAGTATATTCCCTAAAGAAACTCTTGATAATATTCACAAGGAAAAATGTAAAACATGTTCATTGCAACATTATCTGTAATAATAAAAAACTGGAAAACAACCCAAATGTCCATTAGCAGAAGGATGGATAAGTAAATTTTGCACTAGTCATAAATAGCATCCATCAGAACGAGCAACATGTAGGAACAAAGATAAATAAATCTCACAAACAATACTAAGGGAACAAAAGAAGTTACAGTAGAAGACAGACATACAGTACAATTCCATTCATTTAAAGTTTAAAAACATGCAAAACAGTATTTCCTGTGTGTGCATATATGTGTATAACAAAAGTAAAAAAATGCATGGGAACAATTAATACTAAATTTAAGACTGATTATCTTTGGTGGGGAGGTGGGGCAGGAAGGGAAAGCGACTAGGGGAGAGACACTGGGAGCTTCAATTATATGTATTAGTTGATTTCTTAAATTTGGTGGTAAGTATATGACTGTTATATTCATCATACCTTTAGTTATAACTTAAATATTTTATAAATAGAAAAAGAATTTACATAGGGGCATAGTTCAAACAACAAGCAATATCATGTATGTAAATACAAAGGGAAGGTCAAGATTTGGGACTGGAGGTCAGAGTGTTGATTATGTTCACACACGGGACAAGCAAGCAGAAAAGAGACTCAGAAGTTGCTCACCTTGACAGTCCCTTCACCACAAAGACTTTGTTGGAATGTTGCTTCTCCAGTTTGCTCATCACCTCGTAGAGACTGTGGTTCAGCTAAAGCCAGCAAGAGAAATGGAGATGTAGCTACATGGGAACCTGAGACGGGCATATCCCCTCTCTCCTCTTTCAGACAGCAACCCCAAATAAAACCTCCTCACCCTTAAATATGAAATTCTCCTTCATCTCTTTTGCACTAGTGTCTAGAGTTCTGTCCTGCCACCACCTCTTTGACCATCTGTGTCTGAAATTCTGCATCTTCCATCAGACTGGATCCTTGATGTTTGATGTTTGAGGTTCTAGCTTCTCTCAGGTGATCCAGGGAATGAAAACTCATTTCAGTATTAACTAGACAAATCATAATTTAGCTAAAGAAACTGTGGAGAGGAACATGTGTGAATGTGTATGTGAAGATTATTAATACTGTACTAGGAAAAGGTCTTGGAATCCCAGAACTCATGTTGTGTGGCTGGCTGTCACTGAAGAGGAGTGGCCCTGTGCAGGACCAACTACCTGAGAAACTGACTTCTCTGCTCCCCAGCAACAAAAGGTAGAGATTTCATAACTTGGTTCCCCATTTCAGCTATTCTTTCCATAGGCCTAACCTCCTTTATTCATTTGAGGCTCAAGTTTGGATGCTATTATTCAGCTGTTAATAGAGATGGAGAGGGCCCTCTGAGATGTGTATATGTGCTTCAACACAGTCAATCAAGTACTATTATGTCATCATGAGCAAAAAGGAAAAAGTCTGTGAGGCCAATATGGATATATAATGAGATTATATAAATGAAGGCTACTTTCATATTTACTAGACAAACCCATCTAAGTGTCTAAATTGGTCAGATGTTTCTTACCTTGCTCATCTCCCTGTAGAAGACGTCTCTCAAGTTTGAAATGTTTTGGAAGATGGTCACATAACAGCCAATACGACTATCAGGAGGCAAACAACAAACACAATACAGTTAAGGGTTGGTCAAGGAAGTCTTTGAAATACAAGGGAGGAGCTTAAGCCATAGCCAGCCACCTCAGAGAAAAAGCACCCTACATTCCAGACTCAGCGGGATCTAGATGGATCAAAGCCTGGCCAGGAGCACACTTGACTCTCAGGAATGAGAAATGAGAAGGCCAGAGGAGACGCTCTCAGCCCATGCTGACACCAAAGTATAACAGATCTCTAGTTGCATGAAGTCATCTTGATTCAGGTTCTTTATGTATTGAAGGGGACATGAAAGTGCTTTGAAGAATTTTTTTGAAGTGCTATATAAGTACAAGGTCATATAATTATTACCATTAGTCTTTCTCATTATACAGTACTTGGAATTCTATGTGTATGTACATTAATGGAATTCTGTAAATTAATTGGGGAAGTTTACATTTAAAGAAACTGTATTAAACTTAAATTCTATTTAAATTAGGAATCATATAATTAATGTTTTAGAACACATGTGGTTATTAAAAAGGCTCTATCATAGGTAGAATAATACTAAGTGACAATATAAAATATTCTAACTATAATTGCATTAAAGCATATTTCATACAGTGAAAATGGGATACAAGTAGAACAGAATTTCCACTCAGATTCCCCTTCCACTGTGGAAAATTTACATACGAAACACTTTTATCTACTGTGCAGCAAATATATCTTCATTAATGTAAGTAGCCATCCTATGGTTTGTCTTCTATGTGAATCTGGATGTTCAGAACCAAGGTAGTTTACATAAAACACTAGAACAAGAAACCAGATACTCCTGATATGCATGATGACAGCACTTTATTTGCCAAGATCACTCCTATCCAAGAAGCCTCTTGTCTTCAAACCCAGAAAAGCTTGCAGGGCAATTAAGGTTATCTCTGCATTGCAGATGAAGAAACCAGGGTCTTTAGAGATAAGGTAGCCTGCCTAGTATCACGCCACAAGTTAGCAGTAGGGCTGAGACTACAGGCCATTCTTGGGCCATAACTCTTTTCATGAGGTGACATCTTTGGGCTACCAGTTACCACTACCCCAGCAGCCCAGCCCTTCCTGAATCTCAATTGTTACCTATTATAAAGAACGGGAAGCTCTTCTAGTAGTTCCTGGTTCAGATCTTCAAACACAATCTGGGCTTTGTGGAACTCTTCCTCTGCCTAAAAAAGGTGGTAAAAAAGACAGGACAATTCCCCTCAATCCTGAGCCCAAGGAGAGAAGCTGCTTTCTTTATTTTCTGCATTGTTCCAGGGACTAGGCTTGCTTGCAGTCATGCCTCTCCTCCAGAGCCATGCCCTCTCTGACTACCCTTAGAGCACTGGTGTCAGAGGAAACAGGTTTTCCTTCAGGATACTGGATGTTGAATTTATCATTTCTTAAACGCAGTTTGGCCCAACCACCTGCACCATTATGGGGAAAGGGACAGAGGAAGGTTTTTGCTTTTCTCCTTTTACTTTACCTTGGCAGCTTTGGCCTCATCTTTCTTCTTGGCATTCTGCACTGCCTCCAGATGGTGTCGGGCGCTGTCATAGTCAACGAGTTTCCGACCCCGCTTGGCGATTCTTTCCTAACCCAGAGTCAAGAGAGAGAGCCCCTTGATACTCACTTTCCAGTGGCAGGATGTAGGAAATACCAAATGGAGAAGCAAGATTACTTGGCACTTTTATCTACTGTGCAGCAAATATATCTTCATTAATGTAAGTAGCCATCCTATGGTTTGTCTTCTATGTGAATCTGGATGTTCAGAACCAAGGTAGTTTACATAAAACACTAGAACAAGAAACCAGATACTCCTGATATGCATGATGACAGCACTTTATTTGTCAAGATCACTCCTATCCAAGAAGCCTCTTGTCTTCAAACCCAGAAAAGCTTGCAGGGCAATTAAGGTTATCTCTGCATTGCAGATGAAGAAACCAGGGTCTTTAGAGATAAGGTAGCCTGCCTAGTATCACGCCACAAGTTAGCAGTAGGGCTGAGACTACAGGCCATTCTTGGGCCATAACTCTTTTCATGAGGTGACATCTTTGGGCTACCAGTTACCACTACCCCAGCAGCCCAGCCCTTCCTGAATCTCAATTGTTACCTATTATAAAGAACGGGAAGCTCTTCTAGTAGTTCCTGGTTCAGATCTTCAAACACAATCTGGGCTTTGTGGAACTCTTCCTCTGCCTAAAAAAGGTGGTAAAAAAGACAGGACAATTCCCCTCAATCCTGAGCCCAAGGAGAGAAGCTGCTTTCTTTATTTTCTGCATTGTTCCAGGGACTAGGCTTGCTTGCAGTCATGCCTCTCCTCCAGAGCCATGCCCTCTCTGACTACCCTTAGAGCACTGGTGTCAGAGGAAACAGGTTTTCCTTCAGGATACTGGATGTTGAATTTATCATTTCTTAAACGCAGTTTGGCCCAACCACCTGCACCATTATGGGGAAAGGGACAGAGGAAGGTTTTTGCTTTTCTCCTTTTACTTTACCTTGGCAGCTTTGGCCTCATCTTTCTTCTTGGCATTCTGCACTGCCTCCAGATGGTGTCGGGCGCTGTCATAGTCAACGAGTTTCCGACCCCGCTTGGCGATTCTTTCCTAACCCAGAGTCAAGAGAGAGAGCCCCTTGATACTCACTTTCCAGTGGCAGGATGTAGGAAATACCAAATGGAGAAGCAAGATTACTTGGCACTATTGTCAAATTTCACTTTCTAAAAGGGTTTTACACTCAAGGGATCTCCCTCACTATCTGGAAACACTGGGAATTCTCTGGGGGGGATAAAGGGCAAGCCTGCAGAGCACATGGAGGCCTGCACTATATTCCACTATTTCCTATAAACCCATCATAAGCTGGTTCGGCCTCTAGGAGAAATGGCCTTGAGAATCCTACTAAATTGAAAGTCAGGAGTTGTAGGTCTTCCTCCCAATATTGCCATTGACTAGCTTTCTGACCTAGGACAAAGAACATCTCTCTGGGAGCCCCAGTAGCCTTATCTGCCCCATAGTGTTATTTTAAAGATCAAATGTTGACTATAAAGTGCTTTGAAAACCTTAAAGCATAATAAAAATAGTAAATTATTATGAGCACTAAGACACTCAATCCCATCCACAGTACAAATTATACCAAAACTATGTTAATGGCCCCTGTCTCATTCTCTCAATCTCAAAGGATCCTAGAAATTATCTGGTCCACTTTCCCATTCAATAAATGAAGCTTCTCTATAATATCCAAGATAAGAAGTAGTTTGACTTCTGCTTGAACAGAGAACAGACAACTTACCACCTCATGGTACATTTTATTTCATTTTTGAAAAGCTTTAACTCTGAGAAACTTAAGTTAGGCTCCCTCTGAGTTCTTCCTATTAATTGAAAATCAGCATAGTACCTGACAATAGATGTTTAATAAATATGAGGTGAATGAATAAATGAACTATAATTCTGCTTTCTGGAACAGTTTAGAACAGGTAGAATTCCTCTTCTACCAAAGAGACAAGTATTTCGAGATAATTATTATGACCTCTCCAAGTTTTCCCTTCTCCGTAACATCTTTACTCCCATCAGCTGTTCCTCACAACTAAAAGGGCTGCCCTGACCCAGATCTAATTCAAAATCAGCCCAAATCTAGTTTACTGAAATCTAGGTCTAAACATAACATTCACACTACCTCTAACCTTCCCACCTTACCCTCTTGTCTCACCCTCAGCTTTTAACCCTTCACCTAGGCCACCCCACTTCATTCCCAACCATGGGTTCTGACTCTACTTAAAATATTCAACCTAATATGTTCTCCAATTTATATAGGCCCCCAATAACCTATCCTGGATTCTATAAATTGATTACCTTAATCTCGTTGAACTGGGCTACATAGTTGTCCATGGTCCTCAAAGCCTGGTCAGCTAGTTTCTCTTCATAGTCTTCCCAAAGAAGATCATTATTCTGTGAGACAGAGGAAGAGGGGAGTGGCGAGGGCTCCATTCTCAAAAACAACACATACCAAGGGAATACCCAAATTCTTCCTGCAACAAACTTTCTTTTTGGAGCACTGTATTTAGAATGTCATGTTGGATTCTGGGGAGGAGTCAGAGGAAGAAGCAGCCTTTTCCCAAGGAAACGCCCTATGAGAGACTGGACATACATGCAGGGATAAAGACCAGGAACAGATAGACGGTCAGTCTTAGATCCACAGTTTGAAGGATAGGGAAGTTTGGGAATAAATAACTACATGAATTTAGTTTTCAAAAACAACTTTCACATAGGTAAAACTTCTATAAGGTTTTAAAGAGGATAAGAAGGGATCAAAAACAGGAATCCATAGATCAGGGAAAACTTTCTACCTTTGTAGTTGCAGCTTCTTCCTACCTCCTGTGACCGAGGCTACACAAATGAGCACTGTGAAAGGACTCTGTTGTTTTCCTATTTGCTTGGACAGAGAAGCTACAATGAGGCGGAGGTGAGGGCAGCACTGAGTGCTGAAGAGCGTACAACCCAGCACACTCTTACCCCTACAATGGCCTTCAGCTCCTCATGACCGTCCCACTCGCTGCTGTAGATCTCCTGCAGGGTTTCTGACACTCTCTTTGAACTCTCATGCATCACTGAAAGGAGAGAACCCAGTTCTACCATAAAGTTTCCCAAAAAGTAGTTTGGTACAGTCATATGGGTAGCAGGCAGTCAGTGCGTCCAATTCCAAAGGACAAACTCAGATGGTGTGGAGTATTAGTGAGGGAAGCTGGATGGGGCTGGGATAGCAAAAGTTACTCTGTTAGGCCCACAAAGTTCGAGGAGTCAGGGGCAGGCAAGCGATAAAATGCCCGAGTATGGCTTTGTTGTTTCCATTCCCAAGACCTCTTAGTAGCTGCATAAATGCCCCTGTGGTTCTCCTGTATCACAATACACACCTTTGACTGCACTGAGGAAGTTCTTCAGGTCCTTGTATAGCTTGTGGCCTTCAGCCTGAAAGGAAGAAGTACCTTTGGTGACTAAAAAGGTACATTTGGAAAGATGCTCCAAAGGTAAAAGTAGAAAAGTAGGTTAAAAGCAGAAATCAATACTGGAATATCTCAGACATTTGCAAATGCTATAAATTAACCTCTATTGTCTTTACCAAGAAGTTGTATGTTGTCTCTTTTGGGACAATTTTTAAGTTGGGAGATTGCTCCCATTGCTTCAGCATGTCTTTCCTCTGTTTATTCTTCCTTCCAGTGAACAAGAGCTTATACCCAAGTTCCTCTGTTGCAATTTAAGTGTCCTGTGTGATACTATCTATGTAACTCTCTGGCTAACAACTTCCTCTTTGGTTAGATAAACTGCTATCATCTTCTGCAGACACCAGGCCCTATTCCCTCTCTGCACCCTCACACAGGCCATTCCTCTCCACCCCTGATGTCCCTCTCTGCCTTGCCCCACTTTACCCTTCCCTCCATCAGTCACCTGCTTTATACTTCTCCAAGGAGCCTCATCACTGACTCTCCTCCTGTCCCAAGTCCAGTGTCCTCATCTGTAGTTCTATCTATCTACCTGATTTTATCTTTGCTCCTGTGTCTGAACTCTCATTTATTTAGGCTAGGACTCCCAAGAGCAGATTAGGTTTCCTTCCTCTAAAAGAGAAGAATAGAGGAAGGAGAGGAGGGTATCATTTAGATTTGGAAGTTCAAATATTAATCCAATAGATGAACCACTTTTGTTATAACTGACAAATGTTCACTTAGCCTCTACTTCTTGAATACCTCCAGCCACCAGAAGCTCAGGACCTTTTGCTGCAGCTGTGCTTCAATTTTAAATGGCCCTATTAGAACTTTTGCCCACTGGTCTTAGGCTGGCCTTCTGTACTCAGAGTAGGTCTAATTTCTCTTGCACATATGTTTGGAGACTTCTTTCACTGCCCTGCACCAAGTCTTCTCTTTCATAGGCTTCCTCGATTGTTCCTTGTGGTGTTGTGTAAAGCCCCTTCCCATTCTGGTCTCTTTCCTCTGTGTGAACTCCAGTTTCTAGGAGTTGGATGAAAAGGAAATTTGAGACCAGACCATGACATTTTGGAGCCTGACTTCAGGAGTGTGGGACTGGACTGAAAGGTACAACCCACTTCAAGGGCATTCTACAGTGCCATGCATATGGCTCAAAGGGAAAGGTCATTATTACTGAATTTTGGCAGCAGAAAATCTAGGTCTACTTAGTTAAATAAACAGAGAAAACTAGACTAATTATTTCATCCATTTTTTTGCCTTCAGAGCTCACCTATAAGCCAGTCCAAACTATTGACCACACCTCATTTTAAAAGTCCTTCTCAAGGGGCTGAATGCCAGGGCTCAAGGGACATGAAGACACAGGTAGTCTCAAGGGAGTCTCAGGCACAGAGAGGGAGGAGAAGAACTGGGATTGTATAGTGTGTCATAGAAAATGAGGATCAAGAGGGCATCGGAAAATGACCAAGGAAGGGTCAGATGTAACAGAGAGGTTAGAATGCAGGCAGAATTGGTAAGTCACTGGACTAGGTAATTAGAGGTCACTGGTGACCTCGTAAAGCACTTTCAGTGTGTGATAGAGAGGTTCAGTCAGCATTTACCAGGAAGGATTCCTCACTTCCTCCCTGCTTTTTCATTCATAGAAAAAACTATAAGTTGTCTAAAGAGTTAAATGCACATAATATCTTTTAAACATGGATATGGTAGGTAGGTAGAAGTCTGAGAGTTTTGAAAATGTGATAAACAAGATTTTTTAAAGCATTTTGAAAATTATAAAATTTTATGAAGATTTCAATTTCCTTCTTGAAAGAAACAATATGGACTCAATGTTTTATTTCAACATGAAGATTTGTTCTCCAAAATATATATTTGAGTAACAAAAGCTGTTTGACTATCTTATGTAATTTCTACAAATGAAAATTTTAATTTTTTACCCCATTGGATATTATATAGCTTGAAAAATAAGGTCAGTAATCAAGGCTGCCATGTATGATTAAGTAGGATATATGTACAGTGTTCAAAATTAGGGAGTATTACCTACACCCCAGTTCATAAAAATGCGAATGCCTTCTGCCCACCACTGCACCTCACAAAAGCCCAAGTCCATTTCTGTGTTTTAGAGTCGAGGCTCCTGGACAAAGTTCTTGTATGTTCTTGCTCTTTCCTCTGAAGGATGAAGTGTGAGTGTGCACGTGACGGTGACAGTGGGGGCTGTGGTGGTAGGAGAGCATTGGGCGTCATTTTATTTATTTCTCTGACCTGCCTGTCCTCTCCTGAAATGTTTCCAGGCTGAATAATCCCAGCATCTTTCTTGTTTCCTGACAGATGTGACTCTCACAGTCTTAGGTTCCCAATTATCTGGGAGTCAAAAACATGTCTCCACCTGCAACTAGCAAGTTCTTCCACTTCTCTGGCTCCAGTTTCCTCACCTATCAGTGCCAGTTTGGACATTTCTAGCTATAAATCTTATGACTGTATCATTTCTGCTGTCTGAATCCTTGCCAAATTCTTGTCAGCACCATAAAGAGTCTGAGTTAGTCTTTCCATCCCTCATACAAACAGTCCGAGCCCTCAGCTAATGAACCTCTCACTCTAGAAGCGTGTCCTAAGCACTCAGGCAGACAGAGCTGTGTCCTTAAAGACTGGGGTACTGAGGATGGAGAAGAAAGCTCTTTACTTGCTGGAGAAAAATGGACTCAGAGAAACACAAATGCCAGCATGACCAACTGAGCAAGTGCTTAAAGTGTTTAATCTAATGGAGGTCCAGAAGGGGAAGATGAAGCTAGTTGTTAGATTGGACTTTAAAGGCAATGAATTGGAAGTGGCTGTCACTGCCAGAAATAAAATTAAAATGTTGCTTGAGGGAAATAACTCTTCTTATATAATGTGTTTTGAAGGGAGGGAAAGGGGAAACCAAGCAAAGCCCTCAAAGAAAACTACTTATGGAAATTTGATTATTAACCTAGGCTGTTGGCAAGGCCTTAAAACAGGGTGGGACGGGAGTGAAGTTTATTTACTAATAAAAAGTTTACCTATAAGCTGATTGTGGGTGAAGGTTAGGGCACATGACCAACTGGTCCGGCTTCTGGAATACTTCATTTTCAGTCTCTTTGGCCTTGTCCTTTCTCCTTGTTTCTCTTAGCCACCCCAGGTTCAGCCTCAGACATGACTGTACTGTCACTGTCTTTCTCCTCAAACTGTGACAGATGTGTTGTCTTATCTGTGCAGAAGGCCCAGCATCTAGTGTAGTACCCAGCACTCAGCAGGCACCCATGAAATGTCTGTTAAATGAACTTTCCTAGCCATGTTCAAACACCAGTTACTACAGGTGTATTATTTTCCTCAAGAGAAAATTTTTTCCTTATCCCTAATCTAACTCCATTTCATTTCTCAAATATATTTCCCCCTAGAGTGACATTTAGTTGGTGGACTTGCACAGAGATTTCTGAGGGGACTGTCCCATCTGCTCCTCCTAATCTTGATGGCACTCCTTTATCTCTTACCCTTTCTACCCACATATCACTTCTACCCACGTATCACTTGTTGTAGATCCATCCTATAAGGCAGAGGGAGAGAAAGGGCTGAGGACAGAATGGACCAAGAGTCAGAAACCTTTCAAAGTGGGTGTCCATTTATTGATCTCTGTCTTTTCATACTGGAGTTGGAAGAACAGTAACTAGAATTGAGAAGAGGCACAGGGAGGCCTCTGTGGGTGAGGTACAGGGGAGAAGGTACAGTGTTTAAGTCTGAATCTTAGCTCTGCAACTCTTATGCTATGTTACTTTGATTAAACTACTTCCCTCTCAAAAGATCCTATTTCCCCTCAAAAGAGTTGGACTAGATCAGTGGTTGCCAAATGCTGTTCCCAGACTGCTACATCATAATTACCTAGAAAGTTTAATATGAAACACGGATTCCGTAGTTAATGACTACTTATGGCTGCTAATAACAAAGAAAGGAGACAACCAGATATTCCATGCTTTCATATGGAAGAATGTTAACACCTATAATAATAAGTGTTCTTGCCTCCCAAATAAATAAAAACCAAAATGTGAATCTTGTCAAGCTTCTAATTCTAAATATTAGTTTACAGCAAATATAAGACACAGAGGAACATGTTAAACAATATCATGGAGACTCAATCAGCAAAATTTAGACTATAGGAAACTGCAGGAAAATGACCTAGTAACATTAACAAATAAACTGAAAAAAAGGGAGGGTTTAGAAACCTATAGATTTAACTTTAATTAGAAACCTATAGATTAAGATATTTAACTTTAAATCGAAGAGATTTAAATATGTCAACAAGTTGCTGATTTGAACTGTAAAGGAAAAAATCATGACCTGTTAGGGGAGTGTGAACATTGGCTGAATATTTTATGAGATTAAGAAGATACTGCTGATTTTTTAGATAGCAATGAAACTTCTATTTTAGTGGGACATTTAACTTGAATATCTGAAAAGATGTTTGTATTATATAGTTAAGTAAAAGAGGCAAGTAATAAAACTATATATGGAATAATCTTTTACTTTTATAAACCTCATTATTTATTTATTGTGAATATATTTACAGATCATACACACAGACAGCAAAGTAATTTTAAGGATAAATAAAACAACAGTGGTTGAAGCATGGGTGGGTGTGAAACCATTGTTTTTCATCTTTTTCTTGATGTACTTTCTGATTTGTTGTAATGAGTAAATGTTTTATAGAAAAATATTTTTAGGTATAATAATGTTTTTTCATTTTTTGTTTTTTTAAAATTTTTTGTTAAGGTATTATTGATATACACTCTTATGGTAACAATGTGGTTACTACATTTACCCATATTATCAAGTCCCTACCCATACCCCAAGGCAGTCACTGTCCATCCATGCAGCAAGACGCCACAGATCCACTATTTGCCTTCTCTGTGCTACACTGTTCTCCCCGTGATCCCCCACACCATGTGTACTAAACATAAAGGTATGATAATGTTTGTGGTTATGTTTTTTTGAAAGTCCTTATCTCCAGAGAGTGATGATGAAATTTTTATGGATAAAATGATGTGCTATCTAGAATCTGCTCCATAATAATCAAGAATGGGGGAAAATAGATAGAGACATAAATGAGACAAGATTCCATGAGTTGATAAATTATTGAAGTAGGGTGATGGGTACCTGTGGATTCATTATACAAGTTTTTCTATCTTTGCATATATTTGAAGTCTTCCATTAAAACAAGTTTAGAAGTATAGATTCCTAAGCCCTATTACCAGAGTCCTTTCATCTAAAAATGTTTCCCAAATGATTCTGATACATAATTACTGAATAAGATTATAGCTAATACCCTTTTAATATAATTTTAAATAATTATTCTCCACATAATTCAATTAACTGATATTGTACAATAAAGAATTTATCTGGTCTTTGCCACTGGTCCCAGGGAAGTAACTCTAAATCTTGGGATTTCCTAGGTGATAGGCATGTCTTTCTTATTCATAGTGTGCCTCTCATATTGGACCTGAGTTTATAGTAAACAAATGACTAAGTATAGTGGCTCGTCAGGCTATAAAAATAAATCATGTGATTAGAGGGTTGGTGCTTTGAGACAGGTAACATCTGCCTGACCTCCAGGGAAAGGGAGAGTAAAGCAACTAGAGATTAAATTCAATCATGGGGCCAATGATTCACTATGTAATGAAATCACAATAAAAGTTTGGGTGAGCTTCCCTGGTTGGTAATCCTACATCAGTGTGCCGGGAAGATGACATGTCTTGAGAACACAGAAGCTTCATGTGTGGGACCCTCCCAGACTTTAGTCTATGTGTCTCTTCATTTGCCTGGCCCTGATTTGTATCTCTCATAAAAATTATAATTTTAAGTATAGTACTTTCCTGAGTTCTATGCGTCATTCTAGCAGATTATGGAAGCTGAGCAACTAGTGGGAATCCTTAAATTTATAGCCAGTTTGTCAGAAGTGCAGGTGGCCTGGGAGCTCTGGAGCTTCAGGTGGTGTCTGAAGTGAAGCGATCTAGTGGGGCACTGTGCCCTTAACCGGTGGAATCTGACCTAACTCTGGGCAGTAATAGTGTCAGAATTACACTGCAACTAGATATTCACTTAAGTTAACAACAGCTCTCTTCTATTATAAAGAGGGGATTTCAGTCTCCAAACTGATGTAAGAATTGAATGAGATAATGTGTATAAAGCACTGAGCATAGTGCCTGGCACATAGAGTTAGAAAGTCAAATATCCCATGGAAGGTTAAACCTCTGTTACCTACTTCATAATGTTAATTTTCTATGTAATTTACCCATAATATCCAGTGAAGATAGAAGGAACAGTGAGAATAGGAGGTTTGTTGGTGCAAATAGCAAGTGAAAGATGGAAGTATTATTTTAGAATAAAGGGCTTAGGTGAGGTAGACATAGTGGACAAAGAAGCAACAAGGAAAATATGGGACTATTGAGATGAGAAGAGTCACAGCATGGGAGAGAGATGCACCCTCAGGGAGTGAGTGAATAAGCCAAAAACTATGCTGGCAGGGGTTCATTTTGATTTGCTAAGGACCCAGTGATGCCACTGTACCCTTGGGGAACCACGAAGAGAAAAGAACACTGGTCTGTTCCCCAGGGTCAGCTGGAACAGGAAAGATAGGTTTCTCTGGTTCCCAGGGGAAGGACAGGCAGCAGGTCTCCCTGTGGCTCTTACCCCTGCAGGGCCAGGGCCAGTGGGGATACTTGCTGGTTTACAGAACCTATATTCTGCTGCTCAGCCCTGATGTCTCTTTCTTTTTCCAAGCTTTTATTTCCCACCCTCTTGGGGAACACTTACCTGTTGATGGTAGAAGTTGTTGGCACTTTGTTCAAACCGTTCGTCTTTGGTTTCCACAGTTTTCCCCAACTTCTGCAGTACCTGGGGATGTAAGTCGAAAAGGTCCATAAGGTTAGTCTAGACTCTCTCATCTGTTGGCCTCTGATGACTGCATCTTCTTTCAGAGTTTCAGGTGCAACTAAAGGGCTGTACTCCTATCAGCCTAAAAGAATTAGAAATAAAGCATTTTGCTGGAAAAACAATTGTGTTTTGTGGCTCTACTCAAATTGGGGTACTTCTAGGGGTATGCAACAGTATGCTAGGGGACATACGTAAAGCCCAAAATACATTGTGAATTACTGTGGGTTTTTGGGGGAAGGAAGGGGTAGTGTTATATTAAAATGAGGATTAATAAGAATTTAAGAAGTTCGTGGCTTTTAAATATAAAACGTAAGTCTTGAAGACATTTTTCACTGAAGAGACTTTCTTCCAACCATAGCCACAGATTCCTCTAGATAGATGAGGTTAGAGAGGTGGGTAAGGAGACTCTTTTCTTATGAGGGCCCTTGGGGAAAACTTTGAAAAGCCCTGATATAATGCATTTGAAACTCAGCTAGAATGAATTTTAAAATACCAAATGATTAATGTTTGATTTTAAATATCACTGAAACTTATGGTTTAGTGGGGTATTTAACCTTCAATGTTTGAATATTTATCCAAGTCTGTCTCCCTTTCCACTGGGAACCTAACAGCCAACCATCATACTGGTCTCAGTGCTTAATGCAAAGGACATGGGAATGCTAATGCAAAGGACATGGAAATGAAAAAGGGGACACTCACTCTAAACAAGTAAGAAAGCCTGGTTCTTCTACATGGAGACCTCATTTTGCAGGGAGGTACCACCAACTCCCAGGCCTAAGTTAGAACCTCAGGAATTGCCTTCAACTACTTCTCTGCCTCCTTCATCAAATCCCTCACAATATCTATCTCTGGAACCATCCCGTACTTTCTGATCTCACTGCCACAGCTTTAAACCAGGCCCTCAGTGTTTCTCACTTGGCCTGCTGCAATAGACCTATCATGATGCTATCAGACAGTTTAAAACTGTCTAATGATTCTCCATTAGCTCAACAATTTATTAAATGCTCATCATGTATCTATAAATTATAATTCAAACTCTAGCATGCATATAGGTCTCAATGATTTGATCCTTCATTAAGCCTCAACTCTCATTATTACTCTTTCTTGTAGGTCTCCTTCCCTAATAAGTTTCCTAAGTAAGCCATAATGTTGCTTGTTGTAGATGCTGTTCCCTCTTTCTGGAATGTTCCTCCCCACCTTGTCTGTTAGGCAACTATCTAAAAAACCCAATTCATACTCCATATCCTTTGGGACCCTTAATCACATCTACTTCATCCCATTAACTGAGTTAATCACTCCATCCTAAGCACTTGCAACTTCTGTACCTTATTTACACTTCTATTAATGTTTCATTGTCTGTATTTATTTATCTCTCCCAAACTGTGAGCTCCTTGAGAATTGGGTACTTACCTTACTCATCTCGATTTTTCAGTATCCAGCAAATGGAAGGAGAGTGAGATTTACACAGGAGGGGACCACTGGGTGGGCCTGGCATTAAGATTTTGCTAGACTGGAGTGGAGTGTGAAGGGTGATGATGGAAAGAGGATTCCAGGCAAAGACAGCGTCAGCCAAGTTATGGGGGTGTATCCATATTCTCACAACCATGAGACTGTTCAGCACGGCTGGTTTAGGGAGTGCTATGGAGAACGGTGGGTAAGGAAGCTAGAAAGCAAGATTGGGGTCTCATTGTGAAGGGCTTTGAATCACATGCAAGAGTGCCAAAGTCTTGGGAGTGAGGAAGGTCGGTGAGAAGACTCTGACCCAAGTGTCTCCATTCTTAATTCTGACATTAGCGTCTCTTACTTTTGGAGTTCTCTCTATAGTGGTTAAGGTCAAGGTCTCTGGTGTCAGAAAGATCTATGCCCCCATGTTGGCCTTTCCACTTACTGGTTGTAAGACTTTGAGCAAATCATTAAACTCAGTTTACAGAACTCCCTTTTCACCATTAAGATAATAGTATCTCCTGAAGTTGTTGGGATAATTACATGATTATTATACGTGTAAATTGCTTCTCAGTGTAGCCCTAAGGGGCAAGCACTCAGTACAATTCTACTATCTTTATGTCTAGTTCCACTCCTTTCCCTATAAATACCTGTCTTTATTTCCTTTTCAGTTTAGTCATATGTATTTGTGTCTCTAACTGCACCTCATTTAACACCTGCTACTGGGTGTGCAGAGTCAGCCATCTTCCCTGGCTCCACCCTCTCCACTGAATAAAACATAGGCCTCTACCAGAAAGTTGCAAAAACACCTTGTTTAGTGGTAAATGCAGCTCTCACTTCCTTCCTGCTACCCCTCCCTTCCTTCGCGCAGGGCTTGGTTCTTCTTAGGTGGAAGGCCCTGAAAGGATAGAGGAGTCAACTCAGTCTAGAGTCAGTGTGGCTCACCCTGGAGCAGACCAGTATCCCCAATCCCCAACAGGCTCAAAGCAAGAAGGTTTGGAGGTATGGGAGTGTGTGTGCTGAGGAAACACTCCCACCTTTTCTTCTGAATCTGAAAAAATGAGCATTATCAACCCTGAAAACATAACCCAGTGTCCTGGGCCCAAAATCACTTGTTGCCATAAGCAACAGAGCCATGTGTCAGGGTACTTATGCTATAATGTAGATGTTCTTCCTCAACTAGAGTTCCTTGAGGGAAGAGGCTGTACAAATGCTCCACAGATGTTTGTTGAAAGAATTGCTAAGTTCTACCTTTGGATCCCTTCCTAATGAAAGCCTATGTAATGCCAATCCCTAAAGTCCTGCTCTGTGACTTCTGCCCCAGTTTGCCCAGTCTAGTCGCTGAGAGACAAGAGAGAAAATAAATGTGGCAAAATGTTAACACTTGGTGAAATAGGTGAAGAATATTCCAGTGTTCATTGATCTATTTTAATTTTTTTGTTAGATTGGGGTGAGAGGATATAGTTTAAAAAAAAAAATCACTAGACATATTTGGCAGCTATAGTTTCTCACCTTGACGTTTCCCCATAATCATTTATTACATTTTAGTTAATTCTCTCAATTGGGGTAATTTGAGTAGGGCCTGGGTATTAGATATTATGGAATGTTGTTAAAGTTTTCTCTTAGGTGTGATAAGAATATTGTTGTTATGTAAGAAATCCTTATTTTCAAGGTATAACCTAAAGTAGGCTCTCCTTAGTATGGTCCTAATATGCTTTCCAGTCTTTTCTCCCACCATTCCCTGTACACCTGCTCAGCAGCACTCTCACTGCTGTACCTACAAGGATTTCCAGACTCCATGCCTTTTCATGCTGGCATTCCTCAACTGGAATGCTCTCTCACCACTTGCCTAAGGAACTACTAATCAACTGTAATTCCTATCTCAAATTCAGTCTCCACTACAAATCCTTCCCAACTCTCCTCAGTCTTTCTGTCCTCTGAATTCCCACAGATGTGCAGATTTTCTCAGGTCACTTAATTTTCTTTGTTTTGCTTTTGCTAGATTGTAAGCTTCTGGCAGGCAAGAACTCTTTCTCATCTCTAAGTTCTCTCCTGGGTCTAGCCCAGTATCCTGGACAGAAAAGTTTTCCTGTAAATATTGTTGATTGAACCCTCTGGGATACAAGTTAAGTAATAGTTAAAAGGAGGAAAAGACCAACAAAGGAATGGTAAACAATGCCTTTTCTGGTGCTGGTGGTGGGGGTGTCTGAAATTTGCCACAGAGAAATAAAAAACAGATGGTGAAAGCATTAGTTTGAAATGTGAAGATGTGTCATACTGTAAAAATACAATAAAGCCAGCTTGAATTCAGTCTCATGTTGAGTCTGGGTGGGAACTGAAAAATGAAACAAGACAAATGCTTCATCTCCATTGTGTTTAACAGCCTCCATTGTGTTAACCAGACCTTCACTCCTAGCTTTTCAGATGAGGCCTGGACAAAAGGAGTTTCCAGTCCTAGCTTTGCTCCTGAGAGAAGATCAGCAGGAAGTGGCCAGGCACAGCACGAAATGAGGAGGCACAGATGTCAAAGCAGGTTATCAGGAACCTTATAAAGACAGCAGCCTGAGGTTGGGATCCAAAGGCAGGACACCTGGGTTTCAGTAATAATTCTGCCACTTGCCAATCACTGCAGAGCCTTGTTTCCTCATTTCTAAAATTGGGATACTAGTAGCATGCTAAAGGGTTCAAATTATCTTATCATGACAATGTTGGCTCCATAAAGGGAACGAGCATGTCTTCCTTACATCTGTGCCTCATCCGTAAGAGGCACTTTATATTTGACATATTTACTATTTGACACCTGAATTATTGCATATTACTCAGAAGATTACAACCAACTGCTTATGGAAAAATTGCAAAGTATCCCAGGGAGTCCTTCATTTTGGCTGTAACTTTCTTCCTTTTTTTCTGCCTTCAATAGTTATTAGCCTTCAATAGCTTCCCAAGACTCCTGGACTCTGGCAGGCTGAGCTGAGCTCCTCCCCATATCCCAGGCCATTTGCACTTTACCCAGGCAGCATTTGATACCTCTAGGGTCCCAGTTACCTCTAGGGTGCCAGCTGTACTGCTCCATGTTGAACATCTGCTTGCCCTTGTGTCTAATTCTGGGTTCAGAGTATCTCCTTGTTTTCTGCATCAACCTGGGAGGCACATCTGAGTTTGCTTCTCTCTCTGCCCTCTCGGGGTTCAGAACAGGGTGTACGTGGGTGCGGATTCTTTCTCTGGGAAGAATTTGACTCTGAGGTTCAAGAAGCCCTCTCCCTTTCTCAGTTTGGGGTCCTTACCATGTTGAGTTTCTAAATCACTGAACATTAAGTCTCTCATTTTACAGATGTAGAATCTGAAGCCGGGACATTATTTACCTAAGGCTTCAGAGTCCATGCTTAGAAAAGGAGAGAAATCCAAAAGTGAGGGCACAGGGTTGATGACAGCTGGATGAGAACAGAAAGTGAAAGTGAGGTAAAATCAATTGCTTTGTCTTTTAAAAATAACTATTATCCATGAGTTTTTGTCTTTGGGTTTCCGTTTTTCTAACCCATAGTGTAAGTGAGCCTTCTCTCCTCTGGTACCTCCACACCACTTCTAACTAGACCGTTCCATAGGCTCCAATCTCTAACAGATATTTAAGGAGACAGAGTTTGGAGAGGCTGAAACCATGATCAAGATGTAGTAAAACCTTGTCACAGACAATATTTTCCTTTTCCTCTGCTCTTTCACGTGACACTGGCATACTCAACAAAGAGAAAAAAAACATATTTTTCTGTTCTCTTCCTTTGTGAGCCTTTTAAAGATAGGAACCACATTTACATTCCATCAGTTCTATGTTGATAATCCCACTTGAGACTGCTGGTTGCCTTTAATCCTTCCCAGGATGCAAGGCAGTGTTCCATTTTTAGAAGATTATAGGAATATTTCAGTTTTAAGCATGTGATATTCATCCAAATGCTTATAAAACTATGAACCTTTAGAAAACCAAAATTCTATCTCAGGTCCTTCTTATCTCTTCCTCCCATTTTTCGTCTGGCTTATTTATCTTACCATACCATATCATCTACCAGAGTGTTGATAGGTGGAAGGGAGACTTTCAGGTTAGAAGCAAAGAAAATCCTGTGCACAGGTAAAAACAAGAATGCCATGAAAATGTGTAGAGAAGTGTCCACACAATCTTCACAGGCTAGTTACAGATGCAGCCTCCCTACACGCTGGTTGTGGGGCAGGGGCGCCACGGACACTGTAAAGAGACAGGCCTTCCTCACCCTGGGCGGAGTGCTCTCCAGAGCCCAAGGGGGGGACAGGAAGCTGATGCCGGTCACAGCTTTCATCACATCAAACAGCACTCACAGCCCAGGCAGGGCTAGGCACGGGGAGGCGAGGCAGAGCTATCTGGTCCGGGGGGCTCCGGGTCTAAACTAACCGGTGGGGTCACGGACAGCGCAGCTGGTCGTTGCTATCTTACGGCTTTGGGGAGATTGCCCTCTTCGAACCTCAATTTCATCATCTGGATTGCTGGGACAAAAACTCCAACATGGCTGTCGCCAATGTTAGGTCCTTTCACCTTTTCTGGGGCAGCCTGAGTGTTAGGGCTCCTGAGAGAGATCTAGTCTCCTCAGCATCCCGTATTCCTGCCCGAGGTCTGGTGATGTTCTCCGTCTCTCTCAAATCTGCCCGTTTTAATGGAAGCCCAGTTCCGGGCCCCTCTCTTCAGCCCCGGCCTCCCGGACGCCCCTCTTGCCGCGTCGGGCCCCGGGCCTCAGCTCCTCGCGGGCCGAGGCACAGGCAGGCGGCGAGGACCCCCGCCTACCTTCTCCTGGGCCCTGCTGAACTTCTTCTGCACCTGCTTGGCGAAGAGGCCGGCAGCGCCGCCCGCCTTGCCCTCAGCCATCCTGCCGGCTCCCCGGGCGCCCGCCCTGGCCCGGCGCCCTGTGGTTTCTGCAGGCCCCCGAGGAGGAAGTGCGGTCCCGGCTTGCCTCGCATCCGGCGCCGGCCGGCGGGCCTCGCCCTTCGCGCCCCGCGCTGCCCCTCCCGCGGCCGCCCCAGGCCCACCCCGAGGCCCCCGGGGCCCCGCACAGCGACCACTCTGAGCCCGCCGCGAGGCCCGTTCCTAGGCCCACGCCGAGCCCAGCCCCGAGCTGCCGCGAGGGGCACGAGGGACTTGGGGGGCTCCAGCTACCGCCTGGGCCTGTTCAGGGAAGGCCGAAACAGGGGTCTGTCCTCAGGCGGCGCCCACTCAAGGCCAAAGCTCTCCAAACCTAGGGTATAGAAACACCGGCCTCACTGAACGGAGATTTCAGACGTGAGCGAAGACTCATTCATTACAAAAGACAGTAGGCTGTAATGATCAGCTCTGGAAAATAACTGAAAACAGTGGGATAGAAGCAATTGTGATTTCCACTCAGCAAGCACATTTGTTGTATCGGAACAGGTATTTCACGTACATGGGTATGTATACTGGGTTGCCAAGTATAAGGTATTTCTTATTCCAGGTCGCAGTTAAAGATGGAAAGCCTCTGCCAGAGAGGTTGGTTTTCAGCCTAGAACTGGTAGGGATAAGAGCAGGAAGGAGACAGGACTCCAGATCTGAACAGAAAGGAACAACTGAGCTAGAGGTAGAAATGGGGCTCCTTAGGAAAGGTGAGGATCATACTAAAAAAAGACTGAGAGGGAAAGTATGGAAGCCAGTGCTGGGGATGAGGAGCCAGTTTTTCTAACTGCATGAACTAGCATAGTGTTCTAGATGGAGGCAGAATGTGAAGGAAGACACAGATTGTGCAAGTTGGGATGGGGCTGCTGAGATTTACCACTGTTGATTTTCTAGGGAGAAGGTCTCCAAATGGAAGTTACTCCCTGATCTGTTTGAGGAGATAGCTGGAAATTAGGAGCTAGGTTTGGAGGAATGATTTACTCAAGATTTTACAGTGGACATAAAATTCTCTGAAGGAAGGGGGTCAAAATACACGTTCTAAGAAGTAGAGAGGTAAAGCTAGAGGCTGAGAAAAAATTGGAGGCCTTTGTCTGCTATTGTCTTCCAGATCTTTCCCCCAAACAGAGGTACTGCACTTGTTCAGCTTTGTGACAGGCATTGCAGGGTGCTGGGAAGCCAAGGATGAATAAAAAAATGTGATCCCTGACATCAAGATGCTAAAAAATTGTGGTAGAGATAGGTTGGCAATTAGATGATTATGTAATTATGTGCTTAATTCATTTATAGAGATGGATACAACATTATCAGGTAGTAGGTCATTAGGGTTTATTCTGGATGTTAACCATGAAGATGGTCTAGAAGGGACAGAGTGAAGAAAATGGAAGGACTTGATGTTGGATGGGGAGAAGTGAAGTGAAGGCTGGAAGATGGTGGTACTTTGGGAACACTGAGAGATGGTGACAATAATAGGTGTGCTACTAGCAAAAGGAGGCCAATACCTGTGTCACTCAGGAATCCATAGCGTCCTCAGCAATGCAAACCAGCCACTGCCTCCTAGGAAACTCTCTTCAGTACCAATCTCTTGGGAATGGAAATTAATGGTCACCAAGTCATGCAGTGACCATTGTTCACAGCAGGAACAATCTTCAGAAGCTAACGAGATGGGGAAATTGAGTCACAGAAAGGGCTGGTGACTTGCCTAAGGTTACTAGTTCCTCAGTAGTAGAACTGGGGTGGGAATACAGGCATCCTGACTCTGGGCCAGCTTTTTATAGTACTTACACTGTTCTAGAGGCCTTTGCTGACATAGCAGCCTACAAATTCTGGCAACTGTCTTAGCTGGTTTCTCCTGTTATAATGTTAACTGCCCTGGGCCCTCTTGTCTGGTGCTCAGTGATTGTTATGAAAAGCTGCTTCTCATCCTCTTAGCCTTCTTCTTTCAGTTCCCTCTTCACTCTATTGTACGCCACTCGGACAGATTGAGCCCTGGCCAGGATATATCTGCTTCCCAGTTCTCTGTGGTTTGTAGAACCCTGGATCCGGTTACCTATTTTAGTCCCAGCCTTACAGTGCTGACTCATGCTCAGTTTGAGGCCTTTTATTTGCTGTCTCCTATCCCTTTTTGTTCTGCCTCTTCCTTTCAACCCTTTCCTTTCTTTTTCAGTATTTTTTCCTTTTTCTGTTTTTCTACCCTAGGAGTCACTTCTTTGTCTGCTGGCATCTGACCTACCACTTACTTTTACACTCTTACCTCTAGTGTATTCTAGTAGCTGCCATCACCCAGAAGTTTGGGGTGAGCACCTGTTGTAGGCATTGAAGGGGAAAACAAACGAAGGATGAGTCCACAGTCCACCTAAGGGAGTCAGGGCACTTCTGGTCACTCAGGAACATTTTCAAGTGCTCTGTGCCTTTGAGTATAGCAAATATGCACGAGAGGAGGGGCAGATGGGGAGATGAATGGATAGGTAGATCCTAAAATAATCCAAGAAAGATAATGTAAAACCACTCCCCGTTGGCTTAGTCTGTGAACTAGTAGAGATGGCATTAAATGGAAGAAGCAGTCCAGAAAATGGGGTAAAATCCAGCTTGGGTCCTGTAACTGATTTTCCTCTAGAGGGCTTAATTACAAACAAAAGGACACAGGATAATGCATATTTGGTGTTTTTATTTGCTTTTCTTTTTATTGGCTCAATAGTCTCTTGGAATGTTTTTTCCTTGATGGCCTCAAGTCCTGCTGTGGATCTAAGAATCAGGCAAGGCCGTTGGACCCAGGAGAATGTTCAGTTATAGGCAATGACCTGAAGGAAAAGTCAATTATATCCACAGTCAGTAACTTCTGCCTACTTCCCTTCTTTTTTTCTTTAGGGTTCCCAGTTGAGTATGGTCCTGTACTGGGTTTATGGGGAGTTGAGAGGGTGTGTGTAGATTGGTGGGGGATGGGGGGTGGGCAGGAAGTAGGTTTCAGCTGTGTCAGGACAATTCAGTGTTACTGGCAAATATCCAGAACTCAGTGGCAAGGACAGACCATAAAATGGTTGTGAGGCAAGGTGCATGCCTAAGACTCCAGAACGTGTCTCTGCTGGCTGCAGGGCACAGGTGGGATCACTGGGAGGCTCTACCACTAGGTCAGGGTAGGTAGAATCTTACCTAACTCTTAAGCTTCAAGGTGGTTAAAACCTCTTCCCAAAGGATAGAGCAGATTCTTACAACGCCCTTAGAAAGAGCTTGTGAGGAAGAATGTCAGCACGTCATCCCTGGCTCAGGGGCATGCCGGCCTTTCTGAAGCTTTTTCCCTTGGTTTTGTGCCTGGCTCAGATCTGCTGTTGCCACCATCCTACCCTAAGCAGTAAACAAGAAGGTGAAGCCTGCTTAGCAGGTATGTGGTGGGGAACTCAGGATGGCGGCACTATTGAAGGAAAGTGCACAGGAGGGAAGGGAAAGTAGTAAACATATGAATGTGGTCAGGACGATGATGGCTTCCTCTGCCCAACCCAGCCGGTGCATGGGTCTCCAGGTGACACTATTTGAACCCATCATTTGAGAGGACTCACATTATTTATCCAAGAAATGTAAGCAGAGACCCTGGTGAAGACTGTAGGCTTCTTGGCGACATTACAGCCCAAGCTGGACACAAAGCTGGTCACGCCATGCACAGTGTATTGGCCATTCACCACACAATGGAGGGGACCCCCAGAATCACCCTGCAGGGAAGAGAAGCAGAGTCGTAAAACTCCAGGCCTTTTGATATTTGGGCCTTTGCTTTTGCTTACACCCCACCCATCCAGATCTCTGTAAAATCTTGTATAGTTTTAAAGCTCCCATTGTAATCCCACTTCCTTTATATCCCCACAATCAAGATGAATCTCTTCTTCCTTTCTAAACAACCACAGCACTTCTTCCTTTCTTTTGCAGCACTTACATGACATGTTCTGCCTTCTCCTTTAGTTTCATAATTTGTTTTTCCCTCTCACACAGATCTACAAGCTTCTTGAGATAGGAACTATGTCTTACTGATATTTTTCCTCTCCACCGTGCTAGTTTAGAACTTTGAACATCTTAAGCTCATAGCTTTTATTGACTTAAATTGAACCTGGTGGGAGGCGGGAAGTAGAGTGTTCTAATGATTTCCTTATTTCTACCATTTAGACCAATGGGTTTAATCAGACTTAGCATTTAGACACAGGGTAGGTGTAGGTAGTGAACACATGTTACACTAAACTGGGATAGAGAGGAGAGGGAAGACCTAAAGATATGACATTGAGGGTCCCCCAATGAAATGGCCTAGCTGGATTCCCCCGACAGAACAGTTCACTACAGATGAACCCCACCTAAGGCTCAGAGTTACTGATCACCCTTTTACCATCTCACTCTGAAATAAGAGCAGATGGTCAAAGAGTACCAAATATCTGAAGAAAGCCTCTAATATAAAAATGACAAGACAGAGAAACAAAAATAAAGTCAATGCAGATTATTTAGGGAGAAGAAAACAGAGCAATAAAAAACTATGATTAATATTGCATCTATGATACAAGAACAGCATGCTATAAAACATTCAGAAAGCAGTAGCCTTTGAAAATTATGGATTTGATAGTAGAAATGAAAGATTGGAAGGGTTGGAAGATAAAATAGAACAAACAAACAAAATATAGGGAAAATAAGAATATAAGAGGACCGGTTTACAAGGTAAATATGTGAATAACAGAAATTCTAGAAAGAGTAAATAAAAATGGAGGGGAGGAAATCATCAACAAATAAACATTTTCAGAACCAAAGGTCTGGAGTTTCTAAAATGAAAAAATCCACTAAGTGTCCCCTGCAATGAATGCAAATAAACTCTTACCAAGGCACAGAACACCGGGGTCAAGGAAAGCTAAAATAGACCACGTACAAATTAGTGGAGAGTGTGGGGTGAATTTTTGATAAATTGAGTATATAATATGCAAACAAAAAGACAATTAACTTCAGAGAGAACAAAGTTATGGAAGAAATAAAATAATTTTAGAATACAACATGGATTAGAATTCAGCCTTAAAAAATAATGAAATCCTGCCATTTGCAACAATATGGTTGGACCTCAAGGGCCTTATACTAAGTGAAATATCAGATGGAGAAAGATAAATACTGGATTGGTGGTTGCTAGAGGTGGGGGATGTGGGAGAAATGAAAAAAAAATGCTTCCCTTTCTTGTGAACTTACTGAAGGTTTTGCAATATCAAATAGCATTTAAGACAGGAAAGAGAAATAGAGGAACACAGGACTAGGAATTCAAAATGAAACATACACAGGCTCACGTGTGCCAAGCATGTCTCTGGAAGTATAGAGAAGCCAGGAACAGCTGTTAACCTCATGAAGAAAGAATGTGTACCTGGGGATAGGAGGATATATATTTATCTTATAATACTGCTTTTGATCACAAAGCACTCTTCTAGGATGTTCCAGCTGTTAAAAAGGAGACAGCAGGCCCCAAATTGAGTCACTGATGCTAAACCCCACCAAGACTTAATGCCTAACCTAGTTGCAGCTTCAGTTTCTCCCAGATATCTGATCCTTAACTAGACAACCTGGAATTTCCTGGTCAGCACTAGGAGGTAATCTGCTTATAGATCCCATCTGTTCTATTTAGGAGGGCAATCTTGCTTAACATAATGTATTCTTTGCTAATAATCACCTCCCCTCTCAATTCCAATTTTTGCCTTTAAAAACCTTTCCTTTTCTGCAATTCAATAAAGCTTTCTGTTTGCTGGATGGGATGCTACCTAATGCATGCATCGTTAGGTAAAGCCAATTGATACTTAAATTTACCAAGTTGAATTTTTGTTATTTAACAGGTATATATGTGTAAAAGGAAGAGAGATCCACATCTCCCACAATACCTGAACTGAAAATTAAGTAGCAGTGTAAGTATGTATCTTTAGACAGGTATGGAGGTAGACACCAAAAATACCACCTGAAAAGAGTTGGAAGTGTTCCCTTCTGGGGAGGGAGAACTCAAGAGGTAGAAGGAACATAATTACTTGTTCTTTTCCATTATTAAGCCTCATAGTTTTACTTGCCACTGTAAGCTATTGAATATATATAGCTCCAATAAAAATTAAAACTTAAAAAAGAACAACTAGGGAAAGAGGCCAAAAATTCAAATTGGGGGCAATTCTTTTAAAAAGGAACTAGCTGTACCTCACACTAACCACTGCTTATGAAAAGATGTTTTCTTTAGATCATTGCACTCAAAATAATCTAAATCTCCCACTCAGATTCCAACAGGGATTCAAAAGTATTTCTGGGCTGGAGGACTGGAAGAGAATTGATTGTATATAATACTATTGTCTCATGCTAATTGACCTGAAAAGTAATTTAGACTCTGGAGAGCTGGAGGGTGTGGCTGAGAATTTTAGGGCAGAAGGGAAGAGCTAGAAAAAAACTGGGTGGGAGGGGTGGATTGAGGTGAGAGGTCTGGGCCATCCACTGTGAGGACGGGTGGGGACCCGTAAATCTGAAAACCCAGGAGACACTCTTTTTGAGAAACTCCAGTGGGAAGGACACAGTTGCCTTAGAGAATTGTTAATTTGTAGTAGCAGCCAAAAGAAAAGTACTTGAGTTTTCCAGAGTTCAAGATCCCGAATGAGAGCAGAGGGAAGTGAATAAACTCAGAAATGTTAAACCTTGAGAGATTATAGGTGAAGCTGGCTGGTTAGGACCTGGAAGCAGATGCCTTATGCATTAGACTCTCTCTCTCTGTCTCTCTCTCTCTCTCTCTCTCTCTCTCTGTCTCTCTCTCTCTCTCTTTTTGGTCCCTGCTTGCATTGCATGTACTCCTGGGATACAGGACTTTGAAGTTTTAGCACTAGGAAAGTCCTGGGCAAACTGGGATGAGTTGATCACCTTACTTCCACCGTTCTGAGTGCTTTCACAAAAAAAACTTTAGTCCTTTGATTCCACTATTTCAGCCAGCCTACCAGCCTCCTGCTGGCTTCTCTTCCTCCTCCACCTCATTGGACTTTGCAGTGATCTGCAATCCTATTCTTTTGCCCCAGTAACGCAGGAAAATCCAGCCGTGGATTAATCCATTCACTGTAACTGAGACCTTGAGTAAAATGGAATGAATCATATACCCCCATAGTCATTGCACAGTCTCCAAACTCAAACTGTCAGTAATATCTTGGAGTAATATCCTCTCATTCACCTTAAGTAATCCAGAGCCCTCAATCCTTGCCTCTTCATTTTCAGCATCCAGTCTGACTCCTACTTCATAAACTGCAATGCGGAACACCTGCCACCTTCCAGCTGCACAGCCGGCACACTCTTTCATGTCCGTGCACATTTTGGTGTCCCTCTTCCAGTTCAAAGCCAGCACCATTTGTGCTCTTGGTTCCATCTCCCCTTCTTCTCTAGGACCTTGTGCCATCCATTATTCCCTTTCTCTGACTCTATAGGATCCTTTCTTCTCTGCTTATAAACACTTAATTTTAACACTCCATATTACCCTCTCCATGACTTGTCATCCTTCTTAAAGCTACCAGATTCTTTTTTTGTTTCCCTCTTTCATCTGGGATTCTTGGGAGAGTAGTCTACATTTCTTACTATGTTTCTTATTACCTCCTCATTCCTTACCTTCTTTCAAGTTTCTGCACTCACCACTTAACACAAATTGCCCTTGCCATCATTATTAGTGACTCACCAACCTCCAAAGTAACCACTTTGGGTTCCATCTATTGTGGCTTCTGGCTGCACTGAATACTATGTGATGAGCCATCAGTATTTCCTGAGATTGTGTAAAACCCTTATTGCTAGGTTTTCTCTTGCCTTCGATCCTCTTAGAACCATTTGTCTTCCACATCTCCCTGAAGCACTCAGGTATTTATGTTGTCACAGTTCTTCCCCCAACTCACTGCTCTTTTCTCATTCTACGACTTCTCCCTGTGGAGTAATCTCCTGTGCTGCTAAGGGTATCTCTCACCAGCTATCTCCTCCAGGCTCCACTTTCTTATATCTAATTTCTCACTGGTTAAATATACCTGTATGATCCACTGGGGTCTCAGACTCAATTTGTCCAGAACCAAACTCCTCACGTTCCCTCCCATATCCAATAAATCTTGTCTTTTGTGAGGTAGCAAACCCTTTCCCAAAATCACTTAAACCAGATGCCTGGAAGCCATTCCAGATCCTCTTTCTTCTTCCCACCTGAATATCTCCCTAATTCAGCCCCTCAGATTTCTTGCCTAGATAATAGCAATAGTCTTAACAACCAGTCTCCCTGCCAATCTTGCCCTCTTCAGTACTTGCTTACCTCGTCATCAGAGAGTGCTTCTAAAAGGCAAATCTGATCATGCTGTTCTCCTGTTTAAAGCTCTTCAATGGTTTCCCAGTTCCTAAGAGATAAAGTTTATGTCCCCAAGCGTGTGATGAGATTCAGGGTAGGTTGCCCCAAAATATGCTGCTTTGGCATATTGATTATTTTTAATTAAAGTTACTTAAGAAACAGCCAGCACAAGAAAGACACTCTGACCCTTGGTCCCCATGAAAGCAAGAAATAAATCTCCCATGTGAAAGGTACCCTCCCTGTGCCAGGAGGTAAGGAGACACATCCTTATCACTGCAAACAGGGCATTCAGGGCTGAGAAGGCTGCGTAAGCAAACCTGTCGCTTCTTCACTAATTTACTACCCCAAGTCCAAATTTCTTTGTCCTTTTAATGCTTCACAAATGTATTATTTCTTTGTTTAAAAGGTATAAAAGCTGCCTGCTTTGGTTACTTCTTTGAGTCTCATATTTTTATGAGTTTCCATATGTATGAAATTAAATTTGTTTTTTTCCTGTTAATTTATTTTATGTCAGATTAATTATTAAACCAGCCAGAGGAAGAGGGAAAAGTGTCCTTCCCCTGTGCGTGGCATTTGAAGTCTTAAGCCACATGGTCCCCATGTGCCTCTAGAGTCACCTCCTGACATTTCCTAGCATGGTCATAGTTTATGTTCTAGCCCAGAGGTCAACCAAGTTTTTCTGTAAAGGGCCAAATAGTAAATATTTTAGGCTTTGCAGGCCACATAGTTTCTGTTGAAACTACTCAACTCTGCAAAAGCAGCCAGAAGCAATATGTAAATGAGCTGTGTTCAATAAAACTTTTTTAATAAACATAGAAATTTTATATTTTTAGTATGTCATGACATATTATTCTTTCAAAAATTTTTCCTCAACCATTTAAAAAATGTAAAAATCATTTTTAACTCATGGGCCATAGAGAAACACTCAGTGGGCTGGGTTTGAAGGCTTGTAGGCTCTGACCTGTGCTTGTGATGTAGGGAATATCCTATAATTCTCTGTGTTCTCTGTTGTTTCTCCATGCCTTTATTCATTTTGTTTCCTCTCTCTGCATATCTTTCCCCCTTTTTGCCTGGATTTCTCCTGTGTAGTCTTCAGGACTCACTATAGACTCTACTTTCCTGGGGAAGGCAAGTCTTTTCTGACCTGGACA